CCCCCCCCTCCTTTTTTTTTCTTCCTGCCAAAATTATTTTTTTTGAAAGGACCAGATTATTATTATTATTATTATTATTATTATTATTATTATTATTATTATTATTATTATTATTATTATTATTATTATTATTATTATTCATGGAAGTATTTTTTTATCATGAGCCCGGCTCTTTTGGAAATCCCCCTTCGGTTTTTTTGTCTGATTCCGGAATGGTGTCTACCTTCGAACTCCTCAAACCAGTCCTTTATTATATTCTGTAGTTATAATGTTTGTTATTATTATGAAGTACTTCTGTTCAATTTAAAATGTTTGTTCTAGTTTACAATATTTGATTTACAAGATCCGATACGATTGTCTTGTTTTATCAAATTAGTATCGAAAATGTGGAAAGAAAGTGAATGAAATTTAAATTTGTGAGTGTTTAATAAGCAACCTAATTTAGAACGGAGTGTTCTCTATAGGTAATACAAAATTTTATTAATGTATTAATTTATTTAATTACTGACTAGTACTGCCTCCGACTTCCGTCCCAATTTATAGTGCCTGTTTCAGTTTATGATGTTTGACTGAAATTATTTTCAAATCATTTTATATGACAAATGATATAGAGTTTAAAAATGAAAATTACAAGTTAAAATACTACATCAAAATATCTACAAAATTAATAGTTACAATAATATTTTATTTTATCAAATTATTAACGAAAATAGAGAAAAAAAGTACATTTCTCTCGGAGTAAGAAAAACATTATAGTAGAAAATAAAAACTTTGTGTTTATAATTTATTTAAAGGAGAGAAGATTTGAGAGCATTTTATCCTTTTCTTTAAAAGAAAAAGACATTGTTCGCAAAATTCAAATTTTATCCACATTTATTTATTTATTATATATAAATTTTGTAAAAGTCAAAGATAGAAATTTATTTAGGGTGAGAAGTCTTTTTGTTTTTGGAGGGAGAGTTTTAAAACGTAAGATGCGTGGGTTTTTGGAAAGCAATCCCAAATATTAATTCCCGTATCTCCATAAAATCGAATCTGATTTGCTTACCCATTTGAGTTTCGGACTTTTGGACTCTATTTTCTTGTATTCATTTCTGTTCTAGAATAGACTGATTCCTCATTGTTGTGATGTAATTTTAATTTAATTTATTTGAAACTTAATGTAAAATCTGAAATAAAATTTATATATATTTAAAAATACATTAAAAATTTATTGCATAAGATGTTATATTATGAGTATTATTTTATCAAATTAATAATAAAAATAGATTAAAAATGGATAAAATATGATTTTGTAATCAGAGAACGAAAAATTTATGTTGAATAGAGGTACAAATACTATACTACAGAATCCAAATCTTGCCCACCTTTTCCCACATTAATTACGTGATTATGAATTAATAATTGACCGCTGGCTGATGAAATACTGTTTCTACCTATTTTATTAGGAGTACTAAATAAATCTTCTACTCCATTGTACTTTTTAAAAAATTAATTAACTTCTTAAGTGTCATTTGAATTTGGCTATGGACAAAAACAAACCACATCTAAAGGTTGGCCAAAAAATTTAATCTTCAAAAACAAGAAAGGTTGGCCAATTTTTGAAGACTAAAACTAATGGATTTGGCACATGAAGCAAAAACAAAAAGAAAAAAAAGAATAAAGTCGAGTAAAATATAGAAAATGCATCAAAATAGAAGTTCAACCATTTTGTTTTCAAAATAGGATTAACAATGTATATACAATGTCAATCATGCTAATATATAATACTAAAAATTATTATGAAATGTTCGTATATAGTTTTACATTACGACTGTGTATACTTCTAGTGTATTATAGATTTCCTTCTTTTGGTACTTTTTACATATTTTACTACTCCGTAATATTTAAGATGATTTCTTAAACAAAAAGTCTATGAAACAAATCCTATTTTAGAAAAACGTGATTTTAAAAGTTCACTCATTTTGTCCAATTTACTTTGTAAAAGTCAAGCTTCATAAATTTTGATCTAATGTTTTAAGTGAATTACTCCGAAAAATTAATGATAACGTTGTTTTAATGTGAAAATTGCACTTAATAGAACTAAACATAAGTCATTTCTTAATCTTAGCGGCATTTCTTAGTCTCGGACTTAAACTTTTCTATTCTCTAAATGATATGGAGTACTTAATAATATATAGTGAAAGAAATAATGTCCACTAATGATGAACATTAATTTGAATAATCACTAATGGATAATGACCAACGGTCTTACATAAGAAAATAAAACATATAGCCTTATATTGAAAAGTCATTATGTTTTAGTCTTATTTAGACAAATTCCCCTATTTTAATATCATTATATTTGCATTAAAATACTACAAATAAATTTACATACAAGAGTATTTTACATTTGATTTTATTTTACATTTTATACCCAAGAGCAATATATATTTATCTACAAATATATCCCGGTGTACTTTCTATTTATTTACGATCAAAGTAAGTCAAATAAATCATCTAATTTGGGATGAAGAGAATATCATAATTAAATAATCAAATTACTACTTCCTCTATCGGAGAAAGAAGTTCATTATGTGTCGAACGAAGCTTGACTGTTTTATTTTTAGATTAATTTACTTAAAAATGAATTAAATTTTAAAATAAAATTAATATATTTAGGATGACACATAAAATCTCTAAATGAGAGACCGTTTGTACATGTTATATTAATAAATATGTACTACTAACAAAAATAAGTTAAAAAAAGAAGTAAATTGACAAGTGAATAGTGAGATATGAGCTTCTTTTAGGTGTATTTTTTTAATTTAACTGAAATTAATACTCTTAACTTGTAAGCTTGTTTGAGAAGTTTAGTTTTTATTAAAACATTATATAATGAAAACTATCTTTTTTTAATTCATGAAAAATGATTTTTTTAATGAAAAAAGTAATTCTCAAAGAGGAATTCTTTAGGATGAGATTGTATATAGAGTAAATTTCTTTGAAGTCTTATAAACAACATACTCCCTCCATCCCGAAAAACATGAGAGTTTTGATTTTGAAGAAGGATTTAAGGGGAATGTATTTTGGTATTGAATTTTTAAAATTATCCTTTGATGTGATGAGTAAAAGTATGATTTGGTGGATAGATTATTTGTAAAAAGGTATGATGTGATAGGTAAAGTATGAAAAAGTAAAGGATAAAAGTGACTTTTTAATATAAATGAGAAATGTCTTTTTGGGACCGATGAAAAAAAAGAGAAAGATTTTGAGAAAGGGATCGATGGAGTACTTGAAAGCTGTTTTATTTATGAGCAGTAAAGCCGGATTTGGCTCCTTATATTTTATGGACACTGTTTTCAAAATCTTTCTCTTGTTTTGCATGCAGAATCAGATTTGTCTTTATGAACTCCCTATTCCAAAATAAATACTCCATCCCTCCAAATTATTTACAAATTATATCATCTCTTTTAAAATCAATATATTTTCAAATATAAAAAGTAAAAAAATTACACCATTCTAAAGTATATGAAAAGTTCTATAAAACAAGATGTGACAAGAATATTTTATTTTATCAAATGGTCAATCAAAACGAGTAAACAAACAAAAGTTATCGAGAGGCCAAAATAGTAACCGTGGCATTCTTTGGAGCGAGTAATACACTTCTTTTTATTAATTTGTTTCAAAATAAAAACTTTATTCCTTTTTCATGGACTATGCAAAAATATTTACGGATTATTTTTCTCTTTAAAATTATATCAAATCGTACATTTTTTTAAACCACATGTTCAGTTAAAAACTTAAAATAAACTTTTTTTTGGATAAAAAATACTCCATATTTTTTTTTGAAAACAAAATATTTCATATTTAAAATACTATATCACTCAAAACAAATTAATAATCTGATCTAGAACCTCTGGACTTTTTTCTTTGAAGGGACTTAAAAGTTTTGAAAATTGACAAAGAAAATAAAGCCAGATCTCATTGAAGAGAGTGCATGCGCATTTCATTTTCTTTGCCAAATGTCTAATCTACAACAACCTTGGAACAATTTTCTCAACTACTACCTCCCTCTCAAATTATTTATCACATTTCTATTACCGAGGTAAGTATCAAGTTTTTTCAATTTATTTTATTTACATATTGGTAAAGAAATAAAAAATAAAAATTATATACTAAAAAACTACATGAAAAGTTCTTTGAAATAAGAGGTGTCATGAATATTTTATTTTATCAAATAACCAATGAAAACGTAGAAATAAACAAAAATTCCCGCGACTGTTGAAAAATCAAATGTAGCAAATAATTTGGGACGGAGGGAGTATTACTCCTTTGAATAATTTTTAGTGATGTAGATTAATTTTAAATAATCCATGTTAAATTCTATCATTTGATTTTGTTTTAAAATGTTAAAATTAAACGATGAAAATGCTTCCTATTTCTTTTTTTCGAACGTCGAAAAAAAGTTACATTTATTTTGAATCTTAATAATGAATAAACATATGTAGCTCATAAATTTATATACCTAAACTAGACTCGCAGTTAAAAGTGATCGGTGAGGTACTTGATGAGTCATATAACAAAGATGATTTGAATAACACTAGAGAAATGGAAGAATGATTTATACTCTATTTTCTCACTTGTCGATGAGTAAACAATGTCAATCACTCCATTTTATAAATAGAATGTTATAGAGGGAGATGGAATAGAGATTCAATTTTAGTGACACAAAATCTAGTACACTCTTGATACTCTTGATGTGAAGTAAGAAATAATGTTAGTAAATGATATATTCTCTACTTCAGTACTCAGTTGTGTTTTATACTTATATTTATCTTTTTTTGTCTAATAGACTTTCCCCGGCCGGTCAAATAATTCTTGCTCGGTACCTATAGTAGGTCCCTATCAGTTCTATCCGGTTAAATTTATACAATCATATCTAAGTTTTACATTTTTTTAATGAGTAATTTAACTAAATAGAACTAAAGCATAATGACTTTTTTCAATATAGGACCATATGTTTTTATTTTTCTATGTAGGATAATTGGTCATTATTCATTAGTCATTATTCAATTAAATGTCCAGCATCACTTGGACATTAATCTTCTCACTAGTCATTATTAAGTCCTATTAGGGAATAAAAAAATTTAAGTGCTACATTGAGAAATGACTTATGTTTTAGTCCTATTCAGTACAAATTTCACTTTTTTAATTTATTGCCATTTTATATATTTTTATATACGGTATTTTTATATATATATGTGTGTGTGTGTGTACACAAAAATAAGGGAAAGAATATATATATATATGTGTGTGTGTGGTTGTAGGATGGAGAGCAAGATGCATGGAATGAAGAAAAAAGAAATTGGAAAAAAAGAAAAAGATCTTTGAACAAATTGAATCGAATCATATCAACTACCCCTCAACAAGTAGGTTGATCTTCCCAATTTCTAATTGATTTCTTTCCCATTTCAAATTTCCTAATAAAACCAATATATACCTCCCTACTCCCAAATCCCACTACGTGTAGTTTCTTTCTGGCCGGCCGGGTGTGGAAAAAAGAAATTAATGGCGGCGGCGGCTGCAGCTTCATATTCGAAGAACAATGGCGGCGGATGGGCGGCAGAGAGGGCGGAAGAAGACGATGGGTCTTATTCGTCGCCGCCGCATGTGCTGGCTGTTGACGACAATCTCGTTGACCGCAAGATTGTTGAAAGACTGCTCAAAAGCTCTTCTTGTAAAGGTATGTGTAAATCCATTTTTAAAGAAAATTGCCCATCTAATGAAAATTACTTTCGATTTCAAACATTTAAAAAAAAAATAAAAGACTGGGTTTTTTTTTAATAGGAATGTGACGGAAAAACTTACAAACAAATAAAGAATGAATGTGTAGTATAAGGCAGTGTTTGGCTTTGGTTTCAGTGACAACTGCAGAGAATGGTTTGAGGGCCTTGGAGTATTTGGGTTTGGGAGATGATCCAAACAACACCCCAAACATCAATGTCAGTCTTCTTGAACCTCACATCAATTCAAATGAAACCCCTTTTATTTTGAACTCCATTTTCTTGATCACAAACATTAAATCTCCAATCCCATTTATTATATTTCTGCAGGGATCAAAGGTGAATATGATCATCACAGACTACTGCATGCCAGAAATGACAGGCTATGAGCTGCTCAAGAAAATCAAGGTGCCATTTATTTATGAACTGTCCATGATTTCTTTCCCTTCTGATTCAGCACAATATTACTAGTACTATATAATGGAGATTATATGAAGATTATAAATGATGAAATTTGTGTTGAAACCAGGAATCATCAAACATGAGACACATCCCTGTTGTCATAATGTCATCTGAAAACATACCCACTCGGATCAACCAGTGAGTTTAACCTTAATAACTGCAAAACAATCTTTGAAGTTGTTTGATTCCCAGATTTTTTTAAATGGATGAAATAATGCTTATAACTAACCAGAAAAAAACATGGGTGAATGATACAATTGCAGATGCATAGAGGAAGGAGCTCAGATGTTTATGCTAAAACCGTTGAAACAGGCAGACGTTAAGAGACTATTAGGAGGCCAGTTGGCGCAATAATAGCAATCGAATATGATTGTCAAACACCAAATACTACATTGTACTCTGATAAACCATGTTTATCATATGTTGTAATCTTAGTTAGCAATCATTCTTTGAGTTTGCTAAGAATGAACATTCATATGAAATAGGTGGTCTGGTCTCTCTATGAAATTTCTCTTTTTTTTTTCTGGTTTGTTTAGATTAATTATAGGGTTCGTTATTTTAAACTTTATATTCCAGTTATTCAAACTCCACGTTCGATTCTCTAATACATCTGATAATTATTTCAAACGGGTAATAATGTGCTAAAGATAGAGAAATGATCAGATTCAACAGAACCATATGTGTCTACCGGAAATGACTAATAGCGGTGGTGGTGGTGGTGGTGGTGGGGATGCTCGTCGCAACCAAAACAGCGGCAGAAAGGATAACAAGCGAGAAAGAGGCACCTCCGAAAGGCGGAGAGGAAAGAGGCGATCATCAAGCAGGGGCAGCAACAGCAGGCCAGTAATGGGTCGTCGTATGGACCGCTCCCTTCGCGGTGGTGGTGGTGGTGGCGGCGACTCATCTTCTTCTTCCTCGACCTAATGTTCAAAAAAACCTGTTTTTATTTGAGAGTCTTGAAATATGAGAAATCTGCTCCAATATGAATACAGTGAGCATCAATGAGAAGCTGGTAATGAGCTTACCTTGTTAGGATCTTGAATCCCGGCAGATCTGGATTGGAGGGAGGAGGACAAAGAAAGGCGACGGCGGCGGTAGTTGGGGAGTTCGTTAGGCGGAAATGCGTACAGGTGTGTTAGATAACCATAACCCCACCATTTTTACATCATTCGCAGTGGCAAGAACCTCGTGCTATTAGATATTTTGGGCCAATGTCAAAATCACATAACTATTGGGCCTGAAGTTTTTGTTCCGGTCTGCTGTTTCTTTAACAAAAACACAGCGCCATTGCATCTCTGCCTGCAGCTTCCATCTTCCATGATGATGATATGCATCTCCGGCCATTCATCTCTCGGAGATTCTCAACTTTGAAGCAAACCGATTTCCCGTCGAATCTCAACTCCGATGTAAGAGAATTGGTTCAAAAAGGCCGTCTTTTTGAAGCTCTGCAATGCTATTCCAGAGAGCCTTCCTCAGCTTCCAGACTCGCCTTCCCGGCTATCCTCAAAGCATGCGCTTCCCTGCTCAGCCTCGGCACCGGAAGAACCGTCCACGCCAGGGCATTCGCGATGGGTTTTCAGTCCGACCCTTATATAGCCACTTCTCTTGTCAACATGTATGTGAAATGCGGGTCAATCCGCGATGCAGAGCAGGTGTTTGATAATATTCCCAAGTCGGGAGCTTTGAGCCAAGACGTGACTTTGTGGAACGCCATGATTGATGGGTACTTCAAGAATGGGTTTCGAGGGGAGTGTTTGGCTCAGTTTCGCCAAATGCAGGCTTTGGGGATCAATCCTGACGGATATACTCTCAGTATCCTTCTTGGAGTATCGTCTCGGTTTTCCACGGGGAAGGAAATTCACGGATATGCAATTCGGAGTTCGTTTGAGGGAGACCCTTTCATAGTCACAGCACTGATTGATATGTACGCCAATTGTGGCAGAGCTGTATATGCTTGGCGGTTGTTTGAAAGCCAAGAAGGTAAGAACAAGAACAATGTTGTTATATGGAATGCAATGATGAACGGGTTTTGTAAAACTGGGTTTTGGAGCAGGAGCTTGGAATTATATTCCTTGTTGAGGGAAAGAAATCAAAGAATCATGCCAAGTATGTACTGCATTGCATTAACAGCCTGTTGTGATGGTGAAGATTTTGAAATGGGCAGGCAGGTCCATACCAATATTGTCAAGATGGGGGTTGACTATGATCAATATGTGCATAGCTCTCTATTAACCATGTATGCGAAGTGTGGATCGGTTGGGGATGCAGAGAAAGTTTTCAATGATGTAGTCGTAAAGGGGATTGAAACGTGGAATGCTATGGTTTCTGCATATGTAGGTAACGGGTGGGTTAATGAGTCTTTTATCACTTACAACCAAATGAAAGCAAAGTCAGTTTCTCCGGATTCGTTCACGATATCAAACATTTTAACCTCGTGTGGTATTGGTGGGTTTCATGATTTTGGCACATCAATTCATGCCGAATTGATCAAAAGACCGGTGCAGACTAAACTTGAAGTCCAAAGTGCACTGATGACCATGTACTTAAGATGTTGTAAAGTGGAGGATGCCATTAAGGTTTTCATTAGAATGGAAGAAAAGGATGTGGTTGCCTGGGGTTCCATGATGTCTGGTTTTTACCAAAATAAAAAGTATAAAGAGTCAGTTGGTTTATATAAACAAATGCTGAACTCTGAAGTGAAGCCAGACTCAAATATGCTGTCAATTGCTATAAATGCCAGTGTGGGAATAGAGAGTATAGAATTAGGTAGCTCTTTCTTTGGGGTCGCCATCAAGCACGGGCTGGAATCCGATGCTTTTGTGGGTAGTTCTTTGATGGATCTTTATTCCAAATCGGGTCAACCTGAAATGGCCAAAACCATATTTTTTGGAATTTCCAACAAGAACTTGGTGGTTTGGAACTCCTTGATTTCGTGTTATTCGCGAAACAGCCACCCAGATGCATCTGTCCGTGTTCTTCCCCAAATTGTTCAGTACGGGTTAATCCCAGATGTGATTTCGGTTACTAATGCACTCGTTGCAGTCTCATCATTAGCAGTGTTACTCAAAGGAAAGGCTCTCCATGGTTACCTAATTAGATATCAGATTCCAGTAGACAATCAAGTGGAGACTTCATTGATTGATATGTACATCAAAAGTGGATGCTTGAAGTATGCAGAGCATATATTTAATAGTAATAACACGTCGAAAAGAAACTCGATCACGTGGAACTCAATGATTTCCGGTTATGGGTCCCACGGCGAATGCTTCAAAGCTATAAGCTTGTTCAAAGAAATGAGAAGATCAAGAATCACACCAGATGATGTAACCTTCCTTTCCTTAATCTCTGCTTGCAACCATTCCGGGCTGGTCGAAGAAGGTTTGGAACTGTTTCAGTTAATGAGAGAGTATAGAGTTGAACCACAAACTGATCATTATGTGAATATTGTCGACATGCTGGGTCGCACCGGACGGTTGGTTGAGGCCCACAGGTTCATACAGAAAATGCCCGAGGAACCCGACCCGAGCCTATGGCTTTGTTTGTTATCTGCTTGTCGAGTCCATCGCAGCTTTGAGCTTGGGGAGTTGGCTGCCCAGAACCTGCTGAAGATTGAAGCAGGAAGGGGTAGCAATTACGTCCAAGTGTTGAATCTGTATGTGGAAGGTGGGATGAGAGAGAAGGCGGCGAGTTTGAGGGCCGAGATGAAGCAGAAAGGGTTGAAGAAGACCGGCGGGTGCAGTTGGATTGAGGTGAAAGATAGGACTGAGATTTTCTTCTCAGGTGATTCCTCATCCCATAGGACAGTTGAGGTCTATCAAACTCTTTACAGTCTCATAAGTGTTATGAAAATGGAGGGAAAAGGTGATTACCATGAAAGTTGCTGACACAATGTGATGGTCTGTTTAATTTGATGAGTGTTCCATTCTTTTTTTTAAAATTGTATTTTGTGTTTAGTTCACTGTTCTCACTTATACACAATTCCAAATAATCACGTATATTAACTTCATATTTCTCAATTGTTCAATCTGGTCATTAGTGACTTGGGAAGGAAACTACCATGAAAAAAGTTACCAAATTCTAACAAAATCAGGTAAGAGATTGTGTCTCCATGAGAAACCAAGATTTTTTTTTCTTACATCAAATAAATTTCGTTGGACGATCATACATTTAGTGTTTGGAACGTCACGTGTGATAAACCAAATATATCTAAACACAATCTGGTTCATAACCAAGCTTTTCACACATTATAGTATGCTAAAATTTTCTTTGTATATATCAGCTGAGATCAAATATGAACTTCGCATGTTATGAAAGACGAAGAAGATGATGCCATTTCTGCATGTTAAGCTTTGCTCTGTCAGATCCTCATCGTCCAACACAAAGAATCAAGTTTCCGGCTGAGCCATTGTGGCCTAGTGCTCTCAAAAGTCTTCTACAGGTAGAAGATGTGAAATGACAACTAAGTGCATTGTAGTACCTCTCTAATCTTTGTTGTGTTGGAAGGAAAACGGTCAATCATTCCCTCTTGTCCTCCTCAACAACTTCAGCTATTCCGAAAACGTGATCTGTAGTAATTGATCCCTTCCTTTCCTTTCTTTCCAGTTTGTTTGCCGAATCTCCAGACACTTTTACTCCGCTGGCAGTCAGAGACAATACTTGTTCCTCATCGTCACCAGTTTCTTCTGAGTACGCATATCTGCACAAAATATGCACCCATATTCCAATTGTTTGTGGTAAATAGGTGTCTGTCTATCTGATGCTCAAATACTGTATTATTGACTTCTTGTACCTCATCTAGCTAACTTTGATATAAAACTGATGTAATTATAAACTAGTAGTCTATACCAACTTTGGTAGAGCCAATGTAATTTTTACTTATTAAAAAAATAGGACATCATAACATTTCTCTTTTAAAATTATCTTTTGTTTCATGTTATTTCTTCTTTTTAAAATCATAATACTAAAATCCATAAATTTACCCGAATACTACTAAAATCCGTCAAAAGCTCAGGAGTCATTCCCACCCTCTTTGGGACCTACTGACAGTGCTCCAAATGAAGTGTTATACAGCCTCTATGGAATGGTTAGTATAGAGCCTAACGCCTAGGTATATGCAGGGCTTAGTCGGGAATTTTCATGATTCCCATGTACCTAAGATGCTCATGCTCAGCAATAAGTCAAGAAGTATTTTTTAGTTGGCTGTGCTAGCTAGGGGTACAGGAAGATGTGTACCCCATTTGTAACCAAAAAGTATCACAGACACACCCAGACTACTCAAGATTTATTCTTTTTAGTTAATTAGTAGTTCTTAAAAGCTTCAAATTGCAACACATCGGAGGGACGTGGTTTTGTTAATCCACATAGGAGTTTATTTATTACTTAATGAGTAACATATAATGAAATAAAAAGCTTAATGAAGCAGGCAGTTAGGCTGTAAAAAATTAAGGTTCTAGTACCTGGTAGGGTTATGTGATGGATCCCAAAGAACACATATCAACACCAACAGCAAATATGCTAATAATATCCAAAATGCTGGAATTATCCATGCCCTTCTCCACAATTCACTCAAAGGGTCACTCGCATTGAAGTATAACTAAACCATTCACAAAAAAACATTGTTATCGTGGGTCATTAAAATTCAAATGCATAGATGTTAGGAAAAGAGAGTGATTTCATGCCAAGTGTCAAAGAGTACAATTGATTGTCCTTACTTCCCCACTACCGCCCCCTTCCCCTGAAGAAATTCCCGCTGAAAAGACATAAGTATACGAAGCTTAAAACGCATCATTTTTATCACCTTAATCCAACTATATTGGGGTTGGTGGCCTGAAAATTATACTCCGTAAAGTCCGTATTATCAATTGATAAATGTTCTAAAATTACTTGACACTGCAAATTCTTCCAAAAAAGGAGGGTTTTATACTGAATGTCCCTGATCCTTCTTACAAAAAATATATTATAAAATCATCTTCATCATAGGTCTTTTCACCTTGCATAAAAAATGTTATGAGACAGCATATCTGCAATTATTGAGATTGTTTCTATGGTCATGTCTCATTAAAATAATGACATCGTAAGATCAACGTATGCATCACACAACATTTCGAGTAAAAAAACAGATAATGTGGCATGAAAATTTCTGTGAGCATGTAGCCCACATTTCACTTTTGGGTCGTCAAACTGTGCATAAATGGTGATGTGAAATGTGAAAAGATTGTCATTAGTTGGTAATAGATATAAGTAGGTGTGAGAAGAAAACCTCATAGCCAATCCAGGCAACAGACAGAAGAACTGCAATGGCAAGAGCATTGGTAAACCTTCTATACAGCTCGAGTTTGGCCAGACTTCTTCGAACCTGAAATACACATTTGTAAAAAAATCTCCAATTGCATAAACCCTACTCTCGGGGGATCCAACTAGGTTGTTGTTGTTGCATAAACCTTAATCCGATTGCCTTCCCAAATTCAAGATATCAGATATATGCATTCAAATTAGAGGCAACACATATATCTTTCATTTAAAATATTTAATGTATGAAGTTATCAACTTTATGAACCTGAAGCTTCTCTAAAGTCTTTGATAATGATGAAAATATCCAAATGATGAAGCTGGAATCTAGCAAAGTAACTGGCAACACCAAGAAGAGCCTTGCTTTCCCAGAAAAGTCATTGATGTTTCCCAAATGCTCCACAAGCTCGAGAGCTTCTGAAGCCAGAAAGTATACTGCAGCAAGAAGCAGTACCTTTGAGGATATACCTCCCAGGGTGGGCCGTACAACACCATAACCCATTGCAACTACTAGAAGAAGCAGCCTTGACACAGTTTTCTTAATGGCGCTGAAGGTAACTGCCCAAATGGTAATCCCCATTGGTCTGCTTCCCGTGGAATTAAAATTTGCATATTCAAAATACCAAAGAGCCATTTCACACATCCCGAGTCCAATGACAGCAGTAATGTGGAAATGCAACTGTATTATATCCCTCCAGTATTGGACAAAGCGCAAAAACCAAACGAGACCTAGGACAAGGTATGCCAAAGACATAAACCCATAAAATGTCATAAGTGGTGCCATCTTCCCCGGTAAATAACCTCCCGGGTTTCTCCAAACAGTCTTTCCACTAATCAAAGTTCCCTCGAGTTCTGGGTTGCAGAACATAAAATATAGATAATACATTCCGGTCTTGTTGATCTCAGCTGTTTGAAGCACCATATTAGCCTCCGAGTTGTTTCCCTCAAAGGAAGCCTGAATCCGTTTAGGCCAGCCGGGGTTGTCTGGATCTTGACGTATGATAACCTCTCCAACCTTACAGGATCCATCCTTGGCAAGCTCTGGGGTGCAACATATTGCATCAGACTTTAGATAATGCCCTCCAATTCTATCCCTATCTTTGACGTCCAGAATAATGGCTTCAACAAGTCCTGTACTATCCTGCATTGCATTTTGCCTGGTTGCAGCCTCTTTTGACCTTCTAAAGGTAATAGACTCAAATCTGAACCAATGTGAAAATGGATGGGTAAACTATGCTGCCTAGCTATTTGGTTCAATAAGGTGAAAGATAAAACCAAACAATAGGCTGGAGAGACCAGAGAAGAGCTGATAAACATAAACATGAAAAGATGAACAAGATTGTTATGTGACTGAAAACTCTCTATGCTTAAGACTGTCATTAAACAAGCCTCAGATCGGAGAATCTTACTAGCTTCGAATGCTGAGCATACAATGCTCCCGAACTGAGTGAATATTGATAAATAATTCGAATCACTCTGCTTGAAGACGATTTTACATTATTAACATAAGTAATGCAATGTATGGGATAAAATGAAGAATTTTTCACCCCTATTCACTCCATTCTCATTGCTCCAAATCGGGTGTAATTAGGGTGAGTGTCATGTGTTATAGAGAGTATTTTCTAATTTTAATTCACCTCAATCCAAACAAGATTACACCAAAATTCACCTAGGAAGAAACCAAATCGGATACGAAAGAGTAAGCCAAATGCAGAAACTGAGGATCACTACGACTAAGTGACTAACCAGGACTCGAATCTATGATACCTGATGAAGGACTTGCCATTGAGAGGTTTATTGGCGTCTTCAGAGGAAAGCTTGGAAGGAGGCTGTTCCTGTACATTTGAAGCATAGAGCCCCTCACTGCCGCCATGGAAGAAGAAGGAATTGAAGCGAGGAATGAAAGCCTCGTTCTTATACTCATGGATCGACCCTTCCACACCAGATATAATGATCGCGCCGAGCAGTGTGAGGATTCCCCGGATTTCGCGCATCGGAACGCATCCATTTTCCCTGTTAATCGTCATCTTCCCCTCTTTGTCTCCTTTCCTCTTTTTTTATTTATTTATCCACATGTGTAATCGATAACGAAAAGGATGATGGCCTTTGCAGAGAGCTTCAAGAAAGAGTTTTGATTTTGGAGTGACATTTTGAAAAAGTTGAATAATTTGTGTTGTAATTACGAACTTTATGGGTTGAGGTTCATAAACATGGACTTAATTGAGATCTTTGGACATGAACTCATGAAGACGATGAGATGCCTAATTGCCACACTACAAAGTACAAACCAAATGTACTTGATTTTTCTTTAACTATTTGTTTGGACGAGTGCAGAAAATGAAATAAAAGAAAATTTAAAAAAAATGAGAGAAAAATTTGTAGTTTTTTATATAAATTTTAATTTTTAGTTTACATTGGTTTTAATATAAATTGATTGAACACGGTTTCAATCAAACATCGTCTTAATTTTAGTTACTATGCAATCCACACTTTAGTTTGAAGTTTATCCTTTTATATAAGCCATAAAATAAACTTGTGATTGATTAGGAATTGAGCGAGAGCTTATTCCACACAATATTTGTGATACAGCAATTCGTGTAATTCAAACATCGTCAACCGGATTGGTACTAAATTGATATCCACATACAATATATTTTCAAGAATTATGTAATAAGGAGACATGTGTATTTTATTTTATTTACAAATTAGTATTGAAATAAAAATTATAATATACTCCCTCCATCCTGGAAAACATGGGAGTTTTCATTTTGAAGAGAGATTTAAAGGGAGTGTATTTTGGTATTGAATTTCCAAAAATGTCCTTTGATGTGATTGGTAAAAGTATGATTTGATGGATAGATTATTAGTAAAAATGTATGATATGATAGGTAGAGTATGAAAAAGTAAGAGGTAAAGTGATTTTTTAATAAAAAAGAGAAGTGTTTTTAGAGACAGATGAAAAAAGAAAGGAGAAATGTTTTCAGGGACGGAGGGAGTGCATTTTTAAATGCTACATCAAAAGTCCAACATCAAAACTATAAAACTACTTGTGACATGTGTATTTTATTTTATCAAATAATCATTATATTGAAAATGTACAAACAATCAACATCAACTGAAAGACTGAAATAGTCAATAAGACAGGATATAATTTTGGAACGAAAGGAGCATGCATTAATATATCAAAATTCGATAGATGTAAAAAAAAGAACTCCATATGTTGGAGGGATATCACACGAGATATCATACATGGCCGGTGCCCATTTGTAAAATTGAGGATTCCTACCCCTCCTAACCACCCCCTCCCGGTAAACCTCCCCACCCCATTCAATTGCACTCCACAAGTCGATTTCGACTTTGGAGTCAAATTTTGACTACAAAGTCAAATTTGACTTGTGAGGTGCAATTGAAGGGGGTGGGGGATTTGTTCGGGTCGGGGCGAGGTGGGAGGTTTATCGGGGGGTTAGGAGGAGTAGGAACCGTCAATTTTACGAACGGGGCACCGGAACATCCCCAGGTCATGTCATGACATTGGTTTCCAATGTCATGGGAACCAAGGGGATTATACATACAGAGTAATCCATATATCTTAATCTCACTAAACGGGTCCTACGATACTTTAATTTTAATTAGAGTGTTATCAGCCTCATGTAATTTTCAAAGTGTAATATAATCCGTTTAATTACATTGTCTTTAAAAACCGAAGGGAGGCAAATCAAGGAAGGCTCCTTTTTGGACCGAAGGAAGGCTCATCAAGACACAATGATTATCCATTAATCCCTGTCCCTAATCCTCATTTTTATTAGTACTGCTCTCCACCTACGTACTCTACAATTTTATCATCACATAGTCACTACTCACTAGGGAGGGAGTATTTTTTTCCCCTGACTCTACTGAATGAATTGATAACTACCTTATTTAATTAGTTGACCCTTATACAGCATATTACATACTTCCTCCCTTCTCAAAAACACTTCCTCTTTCATTTTTTCCACTTCCAACAAAACACTTCCTTTTTCTATTAAAAAACCACTTTTACCCTTACTTTTTCATACCCTACCTATCACATCATACTTTTTCTCTAATAATCTATCTATCACATCTTACTTTTACCCATCACATCAGGGGCAAAATTGGAAATCAACTATAATTTAACACTTGCTTATTTTTGCCCCAAATCCAAATGGGAAGTGTTTTTCCAAACGGAGGGAGTATATGCCATAATGTAAAAATATAATTAAATCTAAACTTGAATCATACACATAAGTCTGTTATTTATAATAGCTACAAGACTATGACCTAATTACAAGCCCAACAAAAATGAGTTTTTAACGATAAACCCTACTATATTCCTTAACACTCCTCCTTAAGTTGAGCATGAGATAGAGGAATGCACAACTTGGATAATTAAAACAAAACTAAGACTACAAAAAATTGATAAACAACTTGAACTTGATCTGTTGTGACAACAACAAACAAAGGCGACCGGCCCATGTCAAGGAACCAACTCAACCAAAAGCTCAAGCTTGTAGTTGTGGCACAGTAATGATTGTTATATACTCTAACACGCCCCCTCACGTGCAGGCGTGACCTCTTTGAGCCTTGCACATGAAACCTTAATTTTTTTTAAACTGGGTGGCGGTGAGTTTCGAACTCGTGACCTCTTGGTCATCAAGGCTCCGATACCATGTAGAAATATAATTAGATCTAAACTTGAATCATTTGATTACACATAGATCTGCTATTTATAATAGCTACAAGACTATGACCTAATTATGAGCTCAACAAGAATGAGCTCATTAACGACAAACCCTACTACATTCCTTTAACACATAATTACACTTATGATTTTACCTCTACCTGTTTTTTGCCCAGGAACGGACTCAACTAAAAATTTAAACTTGTGTTTGTGGTTTAGTAAAGACTTAATATTTTAACATGCTACCCCCTCACGTGCAGGCGTAGCTTTTTCGAGCTTATTTGCACGTGAACTCTTAATTTTTTTGATCTGGGTGGTGCTGATTTTTGAACTCTTAATTTTTTAGTCATCAAAGCACTGATACTATGTGTCAATGAATCAACTCAACCAAAAGTTTAAGTTTGTAGTTGTGGCTCAAGAAAGATTTTTTTTATATTCTAACATTTTTCAAAGAGTAAGAAATGAATTAATTAAACCGGGTTTATGAGTTAAGTTTGTTCTTGATCTATATAAGGACGACGATTATCATCGTACATATGGATCGGATTTAGTATGAATGATTCTTCTGGTAGACCGGAGAAAGTCTTTTTTTATAAAGGGAGATATATGAAGACGACCATGACTTTGTCATAATATTATACTCCGTATTTGAATTGAATCTTCTGTACGTCCCCATCACCCAAACGTCTTTCAAACATTGACTAACAACATTTACGATATTAAATCATTTTATATAAAAAATGTATAGAATTAAAAAATAAAAATTACATATTTAAAAAGTACATGAAACGATCTACAAAACTAAAGGTGTCATGACTATATTATTTTCTTAAAAAGACACGAAAACAGGTCAATAAAGTAAATAAAATTTCACTCTATGAATATTAAACGAAAACCTTATTAATGGACGGAGGGAGTATATACTTCTTCATCGAAGTTAATTGTCTCACTTTCTTTTTTAAAATTCACATACAAAAGTCTCACTTTTGTACTTTTATAATAAATTAAAATAAAGATTATGTGGTTTATAATTTTTTTCTTTCTTCGATATAAATTTGAGACAAAGAGATCAGAGTACTATCTTGCCCAAAGATATTTCTTTTCATATTTGATTCAATTCGTTTTGATTAATTTATTGTTCATCTTTCTCCTTAAAAAAACTATCATGGTTCCCATTATTTATCTTTCTTATTCTCATTGCACATATTTGAATTGTACCGTTTTTTATTACTCTCTCGGTCCTAACTATCATGGTTCCCATTATTTATCTTTCTTAGACCTAACTTTTAACAATGACGCTAAAAATTCATCATACTCTCTCGGTCCCTAAATAGATTACAAATTGCAGGTTACGAAATAAAATTTCCTACTTTTTAAAATCATTTTATTTACAAATTGGTATATCAATAAGATATAAAAATTACATATTAAAAAACTACTACGTATGTCAAAAGTTCTACAAAACAAGAGGTGACAAGAGTATTTTATTTTATCAAATACTAAATGAAATCGTGTAAACAAACAAAAGTTATCGAAAGGAGAAAAAAATTGTAATCTATTTAGGGATGGAGGAAGTAATTAGCATGAAGTCAATGAATTACTAGATACTCCCTCCGTCCCTAAGTACTTGCAACGTTTGCTTTTTCAGCATTGCGGGAACTTTTGTTTATTGTTATTTGATAAAATAAAATATTCTTGACACCTCTTATTTCGAAAAACTTTTCATATAGTTTTTTGATATGTAAATTTTATTTTTTATTTCTATACCAATATGTAAATAAAATGAATTGAAAAAATTTGATATTTTGCTTCAAGAATACAAGTGTGACAAATATTTAGGGACGAGGGGAGTATAAATCTCAACCCCTATAAGCTAGTCTAAAATTAAAATAAATCTCTTTCTAAACCACTATCCCAATATCCCATATACTTGATGAGAATTGAACATTCTCTTCTCTTTCTATTCAACTTTACTTACTTTTTTATGTCTCCCTATGTGTCTCTACATAAATAGTCTTTATGTTCCTTAAAATATTTCAATTTTCACTTCTTGTTCGTCAAGTAAAACATTTTAATTTTGCTTAAATACACATAATCACGCTTAATTACTTTTTTTTAAATTTAACCGAACCTACCTCAACTATTTTCTGCTATCTATCCATTTTGACAATTTCCGATCTTTCAATTATCGTCATTTTACTTTCGTTAAACTTCTTTATCATCTCCTCTCAAAAGTCAAAATTGGGAAAAAAAATTGGACTACATGGGTATAAATATAAACACAACCACTAGTTAATGGAGTTATATTTCATTAAGCAATACGTTCCACCAAAATTAATGGATTAAATAAAGTTGAACAAAAAAATATCATCATGGAGGATGAGAATATGACAATTATAAGAAGACTAATCCAACATGGGATTGAGCTAGCAAAAGATTTGGAAGTCAACCTTGGAAACCGCTCCATTTCACAAGCTTGTGAAGAGATCATTAGGGTTTTCAGCAGGGCGAGAGAGAGGTCGCTGTTGCAGAGGCCGCCGGCCGCCGGGAACGGCGGCGGGAGTAATGTTCACAGTTGGCTGATGAGCACTGCAGACACTGCTGGTCAAGCGGTGCTGGCGGACTTGTTGTTCCTTCCGCGCGTCGGGGAGCAGACGCCCGCGGTGGGGCCGCGGCGGTCCACGCCGCCGCTACCGCCGGATCTGGTGCATGGAGAAACGGTGGGAGGGTCTCCGTCGGCGGTGCGGGACGTGGACGTGTCTGAGTCTTCAAGAGGGCTTTCTTATTCTTCTTCTTCGCAGAGCCAACGTAGAAGGTGAGTCAAAGAAACTTCTTTTACTTAGGGAAAGAAATTTCTTTAATTATGATTTTCTAAATAGTTTTCAAACTGTTTTATTACCTAAATAGCAGTTAATAATATCCATAAGGGTAATTTATTTAAATAGGATTAAAATATAATGACTTTCTCAATATAGGACCATATGTGTTTATTTCCCAATGTAGGACCATTGATCATTATCTATTAGTCATTATTCAACTAAATGTCTAGCATCACTTAAACATTATTCTTCTCACTAGTCATTATTAAGTCCTATTTAGGGAATAAAAAAGTTTAAGTCCTATATTGGGAAATGACTTATATTTTAGTCATATTCAATGCAAATTTCACTATCCTTCTAGTGATGATGAACATTTACTTGAATAATGATTAAAAGTGTACATTGGGAAAAAATGCAAGTTATGCTATTTAGGAAAAATCATTATGTTCTAATGATATTTAGGTAAATTCTTAAAGGACCATAGCCTCCCCCTAATTCCAACCTTTTGATCATGCTATAACCAGAGTCATTAATCAAAGTCATTAATTAAGCTAAACCTATCAATATAGTTTCTAATTTCACCCCCCTGCCCAAAAAAAGAAATTTATAATTCCTTTTTACTTCCGTTTTAAAAGAAATTTTTCTATTTTTTATTTTCATAAAATATAAATATAATATAGCTTACAATATGTCTCACCGTAAGCAAATTTTACATATACGCACAAATTACTTACGAGTGATTATATATTTTAAACTCCATAAATTCAAAGAGTAAATTTTTTAAGGAGGGAGGGAGAGACTGATAATCAACTATTCAACACAAATCCATAGTCACTGTACTGACCTTTCTAAAAAAGGAATGAGCAGCCCATCAATTTCGGCTGGACTATCACTGAGAGGAGGTAATATAGATTTGACTTTGATCCCAAAGTAGACTAACCTTCTTATGAAATTAGTCTATGATATGATCACATCACAAAATAAAATAAAAAAATCATCATTTTTAAATGTTTTCGTTTAAATTTTTATTATGTCAAAATGTATAAATATGGATTATAATTTAATCTTAAAATTAAATACATTAGGGTATAATATAATTTTGATAATATTATATTTATTTTATAGTTTAATTTTAAACTCATTGTATTTCTACGTATTATTTTTGTATGGAGTACTATATTATTGTTAGAGAGATTATTGATCAAAATGTGAGTATTTCGGAAACCAAAACAAGCAATATAAAAATATTTGGTAAATTCTTGTCAATTTAAACAATCATGATTTTTGTAATTAAAATTTTAGGAGTATATACTTAAAGAGATTATAGATCAAAATGTTATTTCAAAAACCAAAATATTCAAACAATATAAAAATATTTAGTGAATTCTTGTCTAATTAAACTATCATGATTTTTTGAAATATTTTAGGTTTACGATATATACTCTCATCTCTCTTATTATCTGTTAGTAAAGGATTGTGAGCTTACCCGCCATTTAGTTAATCAAGAAATGTTAATTGTTTGAATACTCTCGTTTACTTAGGTTTACGATATATACTCTCATTTACTTTGGAGTAATTTGACTCTAAAATCAAAATCAACTTGTGGGGTATAATTGAAGGGGGTGGGGGGTGTGTTCGGGTCGGGGCGGAGTAGGGGTTTACCGGAGGTTAGGGGTGTAGGAACCGTCAATTTTACGAACGGGACACTGGAGCGTCCCCGAGTCGTCACATAACATTGCCGGACAATGTCATAAAAACCTTGCCCTAAAGTTAGTTTAGTTTTTTATTAACACAAGTAACTATTACAACAATATAAATTTTATTCAAACATATTTTCTTAACTTATTAAAACACATAGAGTTACTTCGGTGGTTAGGGTTTGAACTTGTAACCACCTCTTTAGAAGAGCTACACTCATATAATTGAATCACAATGTTTTTAGCTTAAACTTAGTTTAGTTAATTAATAATTCATTATTCTAATTAGATGTGCTTGTGTTGCTAATTTTAGCGATATCAAATTATTTTAGGGAATAAGATATACTTAGATCTTGTTTAGAATTAGCATTTTGAAAAGACTATTTAACAATAATGTTTAGCTTTAGTATTTTTAAAATTAATTTACATCATTATAGTATTATCTAAAACATTAATTCTAATGTCGTATGGAGTTGTATTCAATTCAGATTTTATAAGATTCTGATAGATTGTTTAGAATCTCGAGAATCTGTAAAATCAACGGATTTTTTTAAGTTTACGCAGAGTTATATGAATTTTGCAGTATTTTATCAACGGGATTTTCTAGGATTTTAGTAGATTGTTTATAATTCATGGATTATTTATATATACATTTGAATTATTTTAAAAATTCATACATCACTCTAGCATTAATTATACTTATTCAATTGATCAAAAACTCAAAAAATAATATAATAAAATAAAAATAAATTATTTTTTAAAAATTATTATTATTATTATAAAATTATTAGCATAAAATAATATATTATTGATCATTGTCATAAGCATTAAATTTGTTTTGAAACTCAAAGCATTATTGTCTCTAAACTATTTTCATGTATATCAAATTTTACCAATAAAAAATTAAATAAAAAATTAAAGACAACACAAAAGATAGAAGACATTCCTCAAAATTCCAAGAAAATTTAAGAATAAAATTTTTAAATAATACAGGTCTCTCCCCCTATCACTTTTTCAATTTATTTATTACCAAGGAAAAAGCAAAATTTCTATTATATCTCCCTCCGTCCCTGAAAATCTTTTTCCTTTTTTTTCATTCGTCCTAAAAAATACTTCTTATTTCTATTAAAAAGTCACTTTTAGCCCTTACTTTCTCATACCCTACCTATCACATCATATTTTTTACTAATAATCTACCCATCAAATCCTATTTTTACCCATAATATCAAACATGAGACTTTTTTGGAAATTCAATACCAAAATATACTTCCTTTAAATCTCTTAAAAATTAATAACTCCCATGTTTTAGGCGGGAGGGAGTATATTAAGTAAGAGCAGAGCATATTTCACAAGTGGATCAGAATATTGTTAGAATAATGGCCAAACGCTAGAGTGGGGATGAATAGCGTTTAAAACAAAATCGCATGAATATAAAAACGAGGATGGTAAAGTAAAGAGTGTAAGGAGGGAGCACACCAAGTTTTATCCTGGTTCACCACAACGTGTGGCTAATCCAGCCTCCCAAGAGACTCTCTTGAGTTACACTAACTCTGTTAAGTTTAAAGGGGCTAAACAAACCGATACAACTTAAGAACTCGAATCACACGATCCTCCGAATTACAACTAGGGAACAAACTCCCTTCAAGTGTATAGAAACACTTAAACACTTAGAAATAAAACTCTCACAGAGAATAAATATGAGTGAACTAGTAAACGCTCAAGAACACGACAATCTCTTCGAGAATTGGCTCTAAAAAAGCTATGAAATATGAAGAATGATTATGCAACGAAAGAGTATTAAAATGTTGAAGAATTGTGTGTAAAATGAGAGGATTTGTGTGCCATTTTATAGGCTAAAATGTGGTGTAACCGTTGCAAGAATTCCAACAGGATCAGGACAAAAATTTCAGAGTCACATACTGATAGTCGATTATCTTAACATGATAATTGAGTGTCAAAAGATTCTTTGTCCAAGAATTTAAAATTCTATCCGTTGGAGAGCAACGGTCACAGTGATAGTCGATTGTCAAAAGGCTGATATTCGACTATCGAACCCCTTTGAAAAAATCTGGGTTTGGAGAGAAACTCAGATAATCGATTGTCAACTTGTTTCAATCGATTATTTGATGGTCCTGAACTTATAGTTAAGAAACTGCATCATCCGATACTCGATTGTTGCTATAATGACAATCGAGTGTTATGCAGCTAAGACAATCCCTGCGAAAACTCAACTTGAAAAACCGATGTCCAAAAACGAAGTGTTCTTGAAAGTAAAAATCAAGGTTTAAAAACATTGTATATGGTTTAAAATAGTGAAACCAAGACTTGTTTATTAAAAGCCAAGTCTTCGAGGCCATTGTCACGTGTTGACGGTTTTGACCGATTTGCACGTGTTAGACCGATTGACCAAAATACAAACGTGGTTTTTATAAAATAATTGTTTGGGAACCTTTTAATTATGCCCAGAAGTAAAAAAGGAGGTGTAAAATATTGAAAACCACTGAGTTGGTTCAGACGCCAAAAACTGAACATCGAACACCGAATGCCGGACGCCAAACGCCAAAAGTGTGGTTTTGGTTTGGGCAAGGACCAGGATTTTAAGACATTAAAAACCTTATTAAAAATGTTTATTTGATGCATAAAAACATTTTATGATTTTGTAAAATTATTTTGACTCTTGAGAACCGAGACTTGAATTGATTGTCAGTTTTGATCACAATAAGACCGACTCGATTAAGTCTTCAATTCTTGATCTTGTCCTTGAGTCTCTTGGTCTTTTTTATGTCTTTCTTCACGCCTTGAGTTATTCAACGAAACTCTTCATATTCACGGCAATTTGGCAATTATCAAAACCTGTCAGAAATGAACATGACTTTAATTCAACGCAAAAAAAAGTGTGGTCCAACAAATATGAGTACGCACCATAAAAATATAATGCCAAACTATAATAGAGTGTATATATATATACCATAAGAAGATTTTAAACCAAATATATTTAATTTAATAACTTAATCAACAAAAAGCTCCACCGTTCTAAAACTCAAATCCTCTGTATGACTGTTAGTTCATTCTATTTATAACGAAGTTTACTTACTTTAAAATGTAAGTCTATCCCATCAATCCCCAACATCGTATTCAGTTATTCACCTACTCCGTCCATCTCCCAAATTAAAATGAAATTCTTAGCTTCCAAAACTAACTCTGCATGTAATTAAATTGGTGCATGCATGCAGAAGAGAAGAAAAGGAGAGATTTACGGTGAACGTAGCCGCTCCTCAAATGGGAAATCTTGATTTGCCGCCTGACGACGGCTATACTTGGAGAAAATATGGCCAGAAAGACATTCTCGGTTCCTCTTTCCCAAGGTATAGTATATATATATCTTCCAAATTATGTTGATGTTTCTCTGTGCTTATAAGTAGCTTTTAATTTATAAGTCAACTGATGACATGTTTCTCTGTGTTTATAAACTGACTTATAAGCTGCTTATAAGCCACAAAAAATATGTAGGTCTTAGCTACTTATTTTTAAGCCAGTTTTTTTGTTTCTCCGTTTTGCCCAGATTATTAACAAATGTATACCCTCGCCATTTATGAATATTTATAAATGATATATATCTATAATTTAAGTCATTTTACTTGCACAGAAGATTATTTGAATTATAAGCAATTTATAAGTTTAAAACTATTTATTAGCAATAAGTCAATAAGCACAAGTGCAGAGAAACACCCATTATATCTCTCCCAGCAAATATCCCAAAAAAATACTCCCTCCGTTTTTAAAACAATTCTTTCATTCTTTTTTTCTTAAAACACTTCAACTTTCTATTAAAAAACTATTTTTATCTTTACTTTTCTTACCATATACTCCATCCGTCCCGGAAAACATGAGAGTTTTGATTTTGAATAGAGATTTAAGGAGAGTGTATTTTGGTATTGAATTTCCAAAAATGTTCTTTGATGTGATGGATAAAAGTATGATTTGATGGATAGATTATTAGTAAAAATGTATGATGTGATAGGTAGGGTATGAAAAAGTAAGGGGTAAAAGTGACTTTGTAATAGAAATGAGAAATGTTTTTTGGGACGGACGAAAAAAGAAAGAAGAAAGGTTTTCAGGGACGGAGGGAATATATCACTTCATACTTTTTCAGTAATAATCTACACATCACATCTTACTTCTATCCATAACATAAATTTGAATGTGAACCGTAAATATAAACTCTTTCTTTTATCTAAAAATCAAAATAGTAAGCATTTTAATGTTTAATTTTTTTTTTTTAAAAAAAATAATGAAACCATCAGAGCATACTATAGATGCACGCATCAGAGATTGTACGACTGCCCAGCAAAGAAACAAGTGCAACGTGTGGACGACAATCCCTACATTTTCAAAGTTACGTACCGGTACCGTCACACGTGTCACATGTCCGCCACCGCCCCGTCGGCCCCGCCGGCAGTTGGCGACGCGTTGCTTCAACACCAGAGCGTAACAACCGCCCGTCGGCCACCGCACGACGGCAGATCATCCGGCGGCAGCTGGCTCACCATGGATATCAAGACAAGGCCATCTCCGGAGGGCGGCAGTACGAGCAATAATATAATGCTTCCCCATCAAATGCATAGAGATTATGCAGCCCCTGCCGCCTCGTCGGATGCCGCTGGGCCGTCCACCGCCGCCGGGACGATGGACGTTGATTTTGGCGGTCAACCGGTGGTGGATATGGCTGATGTCATGTTCAATTCTGGGAGTAGCAGTGAGCATAGTATGGATTTCATATTCCATACGATACATACAAGTAAATATGAAAAACCAGAAAATAATACGACGGAATAATAATTAATGTAAGGGAAGCAGGTTTAAGATATACCCATATACTCACTTTCCGCCATAGATATTCCTAGACACTATTCACAGAGTCAAACTTTACTCATTTTGTTTGCTCAATTTTACTAGTCATTTCATAAAATAATATAGTCTTGTCACCTCTAGTTTTGTAGAACTTTTCATGTAGTTTATTACTATATAAATTTTATTTTAAAATTTTACTCCTATAATCAATTAAATTAAATTGAAAATAAAGTCGGTCAAATCTCGTAATACGTAATGGGAAGATCATATATGGACGGAGGGAGTATATTATAGAGTATAAGAATCACATGCATGTATTTTTTAATATATATTTATGTGTTTTCATTTATTTATGAAGTCGTTTTGTAAAATATTTAATACTCCCTCCGTCCCATGAAACTTTTTTCCTTTCTTTTTTTATCCGTCCCACAAAACACTTCTCATTTCTATTAAAAAATCATTTTTACCCCTTACTTTTTCATACCCTAACTATTAGATCATACCTTTTTACTAATAATCTATTCATCAAATCAAACTTTTACCCATCACATTAAAGGACATTTTTGGAAATTCAATACCAAAATACACTCCCCTTAAATCTCTCATAAAAAGCAAAAGTCTCATGTTTCATGGGACGGAGGGAGTACAATTTTTAAATGTATAGTGTATATTTTACTTTGTAGTGCTCTGTACTATTTAATAATTTTTTCTATCATTTTCCAGATGAATTTTAAAAAACTCTAGTTTACAATGGCAAATCATTCCATAGTTTTTATTTGGAGACAAATTAAAGAGTATAACAAATTTGATACATCAAATGTATTTCAATGAGAAGTTGTTTTCTTCGTCTCGTCTAATTAATTTTGACCCAAATTTATTAACATTTGATATAATCTGATATGAAAGTAACAAATAAGAGTTAATAGTATAGGTGCCCCCGTGGTTTACAAAAAAGGCGTCAAAACAACTTGGGGGTTTTTAAAAGTTATTTGTAAAGTCCTTGTGATTTCTAAATAGAGCATACATGTCCCTCTTACCTATTTTTAAAGCAAAAATGACATTTATGCTCTTGCTTTTCCCCGATCTTGCATTTTCCAAATTCCATTTTCTTTTATTATACAAATATATAAAATAAAATATATACTTCCCATCACAAATTAAGATTTTTCATAATGTACCTTTGAAAACAAAAGATTTTTTTAGAGAATGTTACAAAATAAAATGAAAAATAAAATATTATGTGCAAAGTAAAAATAATAATCGTTAGAAAAGGTAATGGAAAGAAATAAAAATATAAAAAAGTATTTTTCTTTAACTCTATATTTTATTTCATCTTTTTGTTCTTCATTTTATAAAGTCCTTAAAAAATTATTTTACTTTTGAAAAACAAATAAGTTAGAATTTTTAATTAGAGATAGAGTGAGTATATGTTATCTAATTTTTTATTTTATTTATTATTAAAAAGTGTATTTTAATTCATTTTTTGTAACATTTTCTAAAAAAAATTATTTTTGTGAAAATTAAATAAATGAAAATTTTAATTTCAAAAAGAGGGCGTATATTTTATTTTGTTTATTTGTATGGCAAAAAATGCAAAGAAAAGTGTGATATTTGAAGATAGGGAAAAACAAAGGGCATAAATGTCATTTCATGTCTAAAATAGGTAAGAGAGTGCGTCTATGCACTATTTAAAAACCACATGGGTTTTACAAATAATTTTTGAAAGTAGAAGAGGTTTTGACGCTTCTTTTGTAAACCACGGGGTGCACCCATGCTATTACCCTTAACAAATAATGAGAATAAGCCGAAGATAATCGAGTCTTACACTCAATCCATTATATAGCTCAAGTTTATTTGAGTTCAATTCTAAGAGTAATGCTTTTATGATCCTAAAATCTATATGTAAAATTTGAATCTTCTCACACTTTTCATGGATCGACAAGATAATCTTTTATTTTTTCAAAATACTAAATTCATTCATGGTCCTGAGATTCGTTCTAGTTTTATAGACCTCACTGATGTGGACTTCCTTAGTATTAATTAGTATTAGTATTAGCTAGTATTATGATTAGAATTAAGATTAAGATTATGGGATTAAATTAAGATTAGGAGGTTAGGATTATGATTAGAGGATTAGGATTAGGGGATTGAGCTGAGGTTAGAATTATGATTAGAGGATTAGGATTAGGGGATTGAGGTTAGAATTATGACTAGAGGATTATGATTAAGATTAGAATTATGGAATTAGGATTTGGATTAAAGAATTAGGATTATGATTAGTATTAGGCACGTTAGCTTGGATGAAACGTGCATTTTCTACATTAGCTACTAAACCCAACATTTTTTGTGAGAAGGTTGTTCAAGAACTAAGCGTGATTTTGAGTGCACAAAACCACCACTATTCATTTATAATATTTATATATACTAAGATTAATAAAATGAGTATTGACCTTAATTATAACAACAGAAGAATTACTCAATTTCTAAAAACAAAATAAGCTAATTAATAGTGAGTATAAAATACTCCTTTTGTTCACAAATAAACTTTTCATTTACTATTCACATGATCAAACTTTATTCATTTTGTTGGTCTATTTTCGTCACCTATTTGATAAAATAATATAGTCATGTCAACTCTAGTTTTGAAGATCTTTTAATATATATTTTTAATATGTAATTTTTATTATTAAAATTTTACATCATTTTTCATATAAAATGATTTGAAAATAAGCTCAGTCAAACATCGCAACGCGCAACGAGAAGTTGATTTGTGAACGGAGGGAGTAATACTCTATCCGTCTTCCGATAAATTACCAATTTTATTTATTTTAACTTCTCAATAATCTTTATTTATTTATATTTTTCAGTAATTATTTAAAAACCTTTCTTTTTAAGAAAGACAACCAATTTTACGTAAAAGTGTGGATGAGAAGTTCACGTTTACTTCCTTCCCGCGAAATTGGGGAAGAAAAAAATACTCCTTAAAAAGAGATATTCCGTACGTATAACTATCGCCGTGTAATTGAGCAAATGAAGCCCAATCTTTTGAACCAGAAGAAACGAAGAGCATAGTACGGACCACGAGTCTCGGGTTACAATTCCGCCACGGGGATCGAATGACGGGGGTTTCAGTGCTCAGGGGCGTCGTTCACGGCGGTTCATCTCTTCTTCATCACTCCCGGGTACTATCTCCGCTTCTACCTACCCTAACTCCTGTAACCTAATGGAGTCCCCAACTTTTAGCAGAAAATTTGCTTGAATTTTGTCTCAGTTCCCAACTTTAAGCGGATCGGAGAAGTCGATGAAGCTCCAGTACCGGATTCACCGGACAGGGATTACTGTTTTTGCTCGGTACTCGCAGGCCCGTGAGATTTTCACCTCTCGTTTTCAAGGTTCTTATCCTGTAAAAAAAACTTATCTAATTGCTTTATGCGTTTTAGTTCTATTTGGCTATTGATTGGAGAAATTGTGGGACTATCCGGATGTTTTGTAATGCATTCATCAATTATTTTAGGCAGTGCATGCTTGTGACTGGATATACATGATGTTAAAGTAGTTTGAGCCACCTGCCTGTTTTTTTCCTCCTGTAGTTCATTATCGGACATATGCATCATTCATTTCTAAGGTTTACACCCCTTTTTCGAGCCCGAAGTGATAAGCATAATGATCAGATTTTGACTTAAATTTTGGCTAAAATGGATTTCACAAATATACGGAGTACTTTTCATCTCAAAAAGATTTAACGGTGGTCATATGAATTCAACCATATCAGCCAAATAATCTTACCAAATATGGGCTTTTAATATTTCCAACTATTTTGATTGTAGTGCATAAAATGGGATATCTTTTAACTAAATGTTTGATTAATTTGGTAATCAAGTTATTTTGTCCTATATGCACAATTGGGCGCTCTATGTTTTAAACATAGGGGTCGGACTGTGTACATCCGACCCCCCTACCCCGCAATGAGCGGGAGCCATTGAGGCATTGGGGTAATGTTGTTGTTCTTATTGAAAAATAGCCCTTTGACGGAAAAAAGCAAGAAAGTTTCTCATTATGCTATCGTCATTCTGTTGGACAAACATGTCGGTAAGCATTTGGAAGAAATGTAGTTTAACATCCTGAAAATTGTTTCATGCAGATCGTCTTGAGAACTTTCCTGAACTTGTCGAGGATGTTGTTAAAACATCCATAAATACAGGTCCGCGTGGAGCTTTAAGGCTTGCCCAAGGTATCCAAGCTGTAATTGGAGTTGGTAGTGAGTGGTTGGCTGATGTCCCAAAGGTGCCCTTTCACCCTGCTTTGATGCCCAAAAAACTTTCTTTGTTGACACAATTCAACTTTATACGTATGATTTGGACCTTATAAGTGATTGATGAAGTATGCGTTCTAGCTTATACAAAAGGTTAAGTGGTTAGCGAGTATCTCATATTCTCATTCCGTCCATTGCCAATGTAGGTTGACAATGTTTTAGTTTCGGGCACATAACGGACTAAATCAAAATGGAACATTAAACTTTACTTGCTTCTTACTTCTTTTGATATTTTGGGCACTAAATGCAACAATGCTTCTATGGTCTAACTAGGGTCTAACGGAAACAACTTCTTTGTTTTTATAGGGTCATCTTTTTATAGGGGTAAGACTGTACATCTTGACCCCCCTGAGGCCCAGATCCCAACAGAGACGGGATTATACTAGGCCGTTGTTGTTTATATGTAATGATGGACACTACATGAGTTTCAAAATAAAGGCTTTTTGCTTGATCTAATATTGCACAAAAGTATGTTTCCAACTCACATAAAAGCATTAGTTACAAGTAGAAGTAAATGCTCTCATTGTCCCCAAAAACTTCATGGTTACTATTGGTCCGGTCAAACTTTATTATCTTTCTTTGTCTATTTTTATTTATCATTTGATAAAATCATGTAATCATGTCACATCTTGTTTTCTAGAACTTTTGTTGTAGTTAATATATAAATTTATTTTTAATTCTATACCAATTATTGAACAAATTCAATGGAAAATAATTTCATTCATATCTCGTAAACTGTTATGGGAAGTTTTTTCGGGACGTAGGGATTATTGTACAACATACTGGAATGGATAATGGTCTTACTGGCAATACTCACAGCTGCCAGCTGGTGTGAGCGTGTGACAATGTATCTTTCTGATATGTTGTATCTGCCTTATATCTCAAGATGGGTATTCATTGGATGAAAAAAAGGAATTTGGAATTTAATCAAACTCTGTTTGCTGAATTTTCCGGAGTCATCTATGCTAGAATAGCTCAATTACACCCAAAGTCTTCTTTCTTTCATTTTTCTTTCATCCACTGTATTTTCTGCAACTTGAGTTTCTAATGCTGATATTGCCTTTTTTTTAAAATAGCAATAAGGTGATGCTAATTCTCTGTATCTTTGTATAGACAGCAAACTCACCCACTAGATTACCAACCGAGATGCAGCTTGGGTTATTATCCCCCATGTATTTGAGGAAACTTTTTGAACGCATGGGTGCAACATATATTAAGTTGGGGCAGGTAAAGCTGTGCCTTTTAATTTCCTCAAAAGATTATCTTTGGCTTCAGTGTTTCTTGCTTATTTTGCATACTCTCTAGTCTCTTCATGCAATACTGGTGGATGATTTGCATGCCTCAATGACTATATGGTGATACCGAAGTGATTATACTCTTACTTAAATGTATATTTATGTTTTTATTCTTTTATTTTTACATTCATGGAATATGTTTATCTTTCTACAACTTGTGACAATATATCATATGTCTTGCAATTTAATGATCTTCAAATTGCAGTTTATAGCATCTGCTCCCACAATATTTCCACCGGAATATGTTCAAGAATTCCAATACTTTTTTGACAAAGCTCCTCCAGTTCCGTTTGAAGAAATTCAAGCAATCTTGTGTGAGGAGTTAGGAAGACCAATTGATAATGTGTTTGATTATGTTGACCCTACACCAATCGCTTCTGCATCCATAGCACAGGTTCTTTCTTTTTTCATTCTCTCCCTACAGGCCCTTAATGAGTTTTATCAACAATCAAGTCCTTACTGGTGAAAAATATTAATATGATGAATGATTTGACCTAAAAGCAATTCTATTTTCAGGTGCACGTAGCAAGAATAAAAGGCTCTGAAGATGATGTTGTAATAAAGGTCTTGAAACCTGGGATAGAAGATATTTTAGTAGCTGATTTGAACTTTGTGTACATAGTGGCACGTATTTTGCAGTTCTTGAGTCCTGAGTTAGACCGCGCATCTCTGGTACAATGCAGATATATACTTTTAAGTTCTCTAAGAAAAATCTGTGCTAATGGGATTTAGAGTTTAGTTTTTATGTACTGCGTATTTACCTGTATTGTTTTACAGGTTGCTATTGTCAAAGACATAAGGGAGTCAATGCTTGAAGAAGTTGACTTCACTAAAGAAGCTGCAAATATTGAGGCGTTTAGGAGATATCTAGAAACAATGGGTCTAACTAGGCAAGCTAAAGCACCAAGAGTGTACCAGCAGTGCAGCACACGACGAATCCTGACAATGGAGAGGCTTTATGGGGTTCCACTCACTGATTTAGACTCAATAAACTCACTTGTCCCTAATCCTGAGGCCAGTCTTATAACCGCTTTGAATGTGTGGTAGGAATCAGTCATAACTCCAACTCCATTTAACCGAGTTGTGCATCATAGTTATTAAACTACAGAGTAAAATGCTATGATTGGAATGTGCGAGTTGGTAGGGAAAGGTGAAAATGCTAAGAAAAATAGTTTTTGCTAAGTTTTACTTTGGGAAATACAAAGGAAAACCAACTTTGATTAAAATGTTTATGAAATGAGTTCAAATGAAAATCTAACAATGATTTTTGAGTCTGAAGCAAGTTCTTTCCCCAAAAATCTTTCCTTCCATATTTCCCCCGCATTTTCATTCCCCAGCATTTTCCTTGCTCCAAACGGCCCTTAAACGTAATATTCTGCTTGTGGTTTGAAGGTTTGGAAGCTTGCTTGCATGTGAGTCATTCCACGCTGATGTACATGCCGGCAACTTGTGGCTTCTTCGTGATGGTCGCATTGGGTTCCTTGACTTTGGTATCTGCATTGTTCTTGGCTCTTTTGCATAACCTCACAAGAATGAGGTCTTTAATGTCATATATGAAAAGAATGTTGTGTGTAACATCTTGACCCCAACACTCCAACAAAGTTGGGATTATAATGGGTTCGTTGATGTATGACGTATGTTATAAGGTATTAACATGAATGAGGTCTTTTACACAGGAATTGTTGGTCGCGTATCTCCTAAAACATGGGCTGCTACTGAATTATTTTTGGGATCAATAGGAACCAAAGAATATGGCACAATGGCTTCTGCCTTAATTGACATGGGTGCTACTGGCAAGGCTGTTGATTCCAAGGCATTCGCAAGAGATCTTGAAAACCTTTTTTCATCAGTTCAGGTACACCCCAGGGTCTGAGTTCTTCAATAGGGGTCCATTTGGAATCTGGGAAACACTAGAGAAAGAAAACTAGGAAAAATCTGGGACAAACAAAAATGGTTCAAATCCAACAAATCACTTTTTTATATATATGTTCAAATCAATTTCATTCATGCATTTCTATCATATATGCACTAATAAAATCCATACAAAGTATGTGTTACTCGCAAATCATATCAAACAATCTATCAAAACTTTATTTCCCCTGGGTATTTTGTAAGTAAAATAAACATTAAAAAATACATTTTCCTTAGTGTCGTTTTCCCCATTCCCTTCCATTTTCCAGGCATATCATAAAATGTATCAGGGGTTTTCATTGTGGGAGGAGGGGGAGAGGGACGATTTTTCAGATGAAAAAAGATGTGTCCTCGTGTAATATCATATCATTGTTTGTTATCAGAGATGATAAATATCCAAGAAATAAGTTAGTAGAAAAAGTTATTTGTATTTGTTCAGTAAGCATGAACTGCGCAAGATTAAAACTGGTTTAGAACTTAAGAAACAAGAACTACCCGGAAATGAAGTGCATCAGTATTTAACACTACTCTGCAAACAGTTCAAGAAAGTGTAATTCTAATACAGTAATCTCCATACACTGACTTGACTTCCATGTGTTATCTTACTATTCTTATGATAATTTAGGAATTGGATACAAAAATAATTGTTGCAGCAGCACAAGACAGGAAGACAAAAGCAACTGCTGTCTCTGCCAATGTCGTTTTCGAAGAGACGCAAATGAATGCTCTTTTTCTTGATTTGGTACTTTTTTTATAAAAAAAATAATATACTCCGTATATCTTTAAAACGTGCCTCGGAGTTATGTGTGCTTTGCTCTTTGGGCATTATTACCGTTTTACTAAAGCATGCCAATGTGATGTTTAACTACCATAATAATGCTGCTGCTGCTGGTGACCTTTTAAACAGGTTCGAGTTGGAGAGTCTTACGGGCTAAGATTTCCACGGGAGTTTGCACTTCTGATGAAACAGATACTATATTTTGACAGATACACAAGGCTGTTAGCTCCAAATCTGAACATGCTTCGCGACCAACGGATCAACATTGCCCAAAATGATCGAGGTAGAAGATTCACATAATGCCCCCACCTTCATTCTTTATTTGCTCCTTGTATGAATCAATATGTGTATACTCCAATTGATAAAGCGAAAAAAATCACGGTATCAATCATTTCAATAATACTATAGCATCTTACAAGTGTATAGTACAGAGTAATACTTTATGATTATAGATAAAAGAGGAAACGATTTATGTGTGTTTGGATGAAATTTAGAGCAAACCATAACATGGAAACTTAGTTTCGGTTAGTGTTAGCGTAAACAAAAATGGTATTGCAACAAGTGGTGTGTGCAGGTTATATCTCCATTAGGAACACTAAATCTATTTTGTATACTAAGTTGGTGTACTAAACCAAAAGTTAAATTTGCAAAATTCCAAAAGCTACAAAACCTAAAAGTTAATGAGCAAGAAAATGCATTTCATCGTCTATCTATATCAGCTTGGGGTAGCTATTGGCTCAACCATGGAAAGAATCTTCTTCTCCAACTCTTGCTTGCTGCCACCAACCAATTTGTCCATATTCCGACCTTTTAAGATAAAGAAGGTCGGAGTTGCTTTTATATCCCACGAAGAGCTAAATTCCTGTCGTAATCACCACCATAAAAAAAAGAAGTAAACTTGTAGCACTGAGAAATGACTAAACGTACTATGAAAAGCAAACTTCAAATGACTAACCGCTAACTTGTCAACATCGACCGTTATAAACATCACTGACGTATACTTATCGGCAAGGTCTCGAGATGCAGGTGCTGCTAGTCTACATGGATTGCACCATGATGCACTAAAATTCACCAACACCTGCACTTGCATTGACATACATTATAAATCCACTTGCATGTTTTGGCCTAGTTTTTTGAATGTTTAGATACATTGGGAGTCGGTCCAATGTACTTTGTCCAGTTATTCATTTGATTGTGACCAGACTTAAGGTGTCTGACTAGTATCAACTCTAGGGGAAGCCCGCGTTAGAGAGACTGGAACAACCCGTCTAGTACCCGGTGCCAAAATAGGCCAGGGAGAAATCGTCATCGATGCATGAGGCATGAACAAGGAGTTGTCGGGGCTAGCACCAAGGCGCAGGGGACATGAATGAACCAATCCCACACTCAAAACAGAGGGATTCTAAGACTTTATTGGTATGGAATTGCATACTTGAAGAGAACTCAAAGATTTGATAGGTAGTAGTCATAATGAGAAGATGTGTAAGCTCATAATTTAGAAACTCCGAAATTAAGGGTGATTGATTTGAAACCATTCTAAGATGGTTAATTCCCTGGAGAGTCTCTCGGGGTGTGTGAGTAAGGATCTAAGCACACATTAAAAATCTAGACTCGTGTTGTTAGGTGGGGACAATCGTCAGATTTGGAACCCGAGTCCTTATAGTCTGCCCACGTGAAGAGAATTTCTGGGCTAGTTTGACCCAGAAGCGAGGCCTAGCCTCTTGTGGGTGCAGATCATAGCAGCAACTACATCAGAGAGATACCGCAAGTTTCTAGCGTGATTGATTCTAAACCGATCACACCATGTGATTTTCGCCTCTAGCTACCGTGAGATCGCACTCATGTTATTTGAAGGGTAATAAGAGTACAAAACTTCTTCTCTCTAAAATTTATTATTTTTCTTAATCCTCAATGGATTCAACGAACATCATATATAAATTGAGGCAATAATACTCACAATTTGTGCAGACTTGTTTGCTTGAGAAATCATCTCTTCCCACTTCTCCATGGTGGTCACAAGGTGAACATTCCCCCCACCAAGCTCTGATGATCCTCTATTATTCTTACCTTCTTCATCCTCCCCTATTTGTCCGCATAACTGCACACATATACATATAAATTTTCTTGTATATTAATTCCATTTAGAAGTAATATATACAAATGTATTATTATATACTGTATGAAAATAAACAATACTCATAAATCTTTTGACTGTTTTGCTAATAAACCTGAGTCCAACATTGCCCCATGGAGGATGAGTAACATATCTTAATCTGGACTGAATCAATGCACCTGCATGTGACCTGTATTTATTTCATTTAAAAAAAACTCATCAAAATTTTCAACATTATGAATTCTAGATCTTTTAAAGATATATTTTTTGGATTAGACATAATTTTGAAAAAATTTAAGATGTCTCCAAATAATGGAAAAGGAGATGATACAAAAAACTTGAAATAAAATTAGATATACCTGAGAGTCACATTCACGTGAAATGAGATTAATTAAAATGTTTTTTCATGCAACATTTTTTCAGCAAAAAAAGATGATTCGGAACACTTGTTGGTATATATATGAACTTTTTTCGGAGAATGTAAGGAGCATATGTAGAGTTTCTTTTCTTACCTTCCAACACAAACACAAAAACTAATTCAATTACGGAGTAATTAATTTTGGAATATCTATATTCTCTCCGTTTTACAAGTGGTCACATTTTGAAAATTTTGAGTCATTCTTGATAAAAATTTGATGGCGACTCATATTAAAAGTATATTAAATTATAATACGAACTTGTTCAATTGATATCTAACTCTAGAAATATGACAAAATCTTCTATAGATGCATTAAATTCTTTGAAAAGAATAAAAGATTATCATGTGAGAAAGTTCACATTTGAAATGTGAACCTTAGAATAATTGAAACACAACTCTTAGAATATACGTGGTGGTATGCTAATAAGGAAATAAATCATTTTATTCATTTGGGTATATATAATTATGTACTCCGTACTATTTATGGTAATTAGAATCATTAATTTAGGCCATGTTTGTCATTAGCGTAAGAGATTAGCGTTATCGTTTTGAAAAGATTATCTAACGGTAGTCTTTAGCATTAACGGTGTCAGAATTAATCTATACCATTAAGATTTTATCCAAACCGCTTATGCTAATTGAAAACATTGTTCCGAAACAAGGCCTCATACTATAAACGGTAAAATACTTTCAATTAATCTAATTACATGTTGATTTTGTAATCACACAATCAACGAAAGAGGACAAAATGCACATGAAAGTGAACCTTGTTTAAAGCTTAGTTTATAACGAAAAAAAAGTAGATACTCCATAATTTTGCACTGAACCTTTTCTTTATTTAAATTTCCCAGTTCACAATATCACATTAAATTGCAATAATAATCTCATAAGTTTTGTCACCTATATGTTGGGACCTACATCTTTTGTTTTTTCATTCTTCTCTCAAACCATATTAATTACTTCTTCAACCTCTCAACAAGAATATGCACTCCCTCCCCAGGTTCCACAATCATCCTAAACGCAGGGGAGTGCTTATACTTGGGCGAAAGCGAAAGCGAGAACTTGGAAATTATGGCGCAAAGCACAACCTTAATCTCAAACATCGCGAAGTTGCGTCCCACGCAGAGTCGGGGCCCGACCCCGAAAGGCACGAAGACCTGGGGCGTCTTGCACGCGCCCGACACCCCGTTCGCGAACCTTTCGGGCTTGAACTCGTTTGCATCGGGACCCCACACCTCCGGGTCCCGATGCAGTGTGGGGATCAGTGTCCAGAGACACACCCCTTTGGGAACAGTGATGTGCCCTATCTTTGTCTCCTCTAGGGCCTCCCGGGACACGAATGCCCCCGGAGGGTAGAGGCGCAGGACTTCATGTATCACCATTGTGAGTGTCTTCATCTTCGAGATCCCCTCCGCGTCTGGCGAGTCATCCCCGATTTCCTCGCGGACGCGGGATTGCCATTCCGGGTGGAGGGCCAAGAGCATCACGCACCAGGCGGCAGCCACGGCCGTCGCCTCGTGCCCTGCAAAGTATATGTTCTTGCAGTTGTCGACTATGAACTTCTTGGACGAATCCTCGGACATGTTTTCGTCGTTAATGGCGGCTTCTAGGATGCATTGCAGAAGGTCCCTCTCCTCCGAGGAAGAAGATGAATCCCTTTCTTTCACCGCTTTCCAGATCAACGTCTCTATTTCCACCTCCAAACTGGCGATTCCGTTGTTCTTTCTGTAATTTTCACAAACACTTCGTGAGCACACCTTAAATAGTCATATATTTATCCCCTATTTAGGTATTTGTTAGCTTATTACTTATTCTTATTAAAATTAGATCAAATTAAACCAAATCAAAGATCTATTCAGATCATATAAGATTCAATCAGATCATATCAGAAACAAATTTAAATAAAAATACAATCAGATCAGAGCAGATCACACCAAATCTTCAAACAACCAGATTAGCAAGCATGAGCTGATACCCAAATGTGGGGAAACCAAATAGGTAACTCTGGGAAGAGATGACGTTTTGAAGAGTTCTAAGCTTTGAGAAAATCTGTCTGCCTTTATTGTATGAGCTTCCAAAGCAAGCCCTAGAAATGACATCTGCAGAGAGGTTCCTGAGGTCTTCGTCCACCGCGATCTCCGCCGTTTCTCCTCCTTGGGCATCAATGCTCTCCTCCCATTTCCTAACCAACCGCTCTGCAGACCCCAGCATCAGGTTTAACATGTGCTGCATTCAATTCAACCAAAATCTCAAGCTGATAGTTGGAAGTCGCGTATAAGAGATTTTGTACTGAGAAACTCATGAAATGAAAAAAGAGTGGGTTTTTTCCTTCTTCTAAGATACCTTGACTTTGTCCATGAAGAATTGTGGAGCAATGATTTTTCTTTGGAGAGACCATAGTTGGCCATTTGACCTCAAGAGGCCATTCCCAAGCATAGGGGAGAGTCTCTTTGTGACATAAGTGGGCTTCCCTAACACCAAACTCATGCTTTGGTTCATCTCCTTCACCATCTCTGGATTGTTCACATACAAATGTTGTTTGTTTCCTGTTGAATATGTGTATATGCAGCCTGTGACAAGAACATTCAAATATAAAAATCGAAGTTATAACATAAAGTATATATTGAATTTAAAGCACTCGATTTGTAGTGTTCTTTTTCTCCAATCTGCATCTAAAATTTCATCATGAAAATTCTCAAACATCAGTTAGGGGCTGTTTGACAACTTCTGAATCGGTAAGTGCTGAATCAATAAGAGATCTGAACCATTAAGTGCTGAACCATTCATACATCTGAACCATTAAGAGGCTGAAACAAACAGCGCCTTAGTGTGGTTGTTTACTAATTTACAACATGACATTTGATAATTTACTATAATTAATTTGATGACCAACTATATCATAGGACATAGGAAATGTCATTTAGGACATACTCTCTCCATTCCAAAATTATCATCAAATGACTATTTCAGCTTCTCGATAACGTCTGTTTGATTGCACATTTTCATTAATCATTTGATAAAATAAAATATTTTTATCACATCTTTTTTTGTAAAACTTTTTAATGCATCTTTAAATATGTAATTCGTACTTTTTTATTCCCATAATACACTCTCTTCGTTCAGGCATCGGTTGCGCAGTGATATCACGGGATAGTGATACTAGAACCGGTTCGTATCTGGCGCAACTCAAATTTGTCCATAACTATGGGGTCATTGTTTAAGAAAAATGGTAGAGACATGAAGAGTGACTTGTCAACTCATGGGATAAATTGTTTCAAAGTTGGTTCCATTATTACTATATAAAAAGGTGGGACGCGCATGTCACGCACCCCAACCCGACAAGATTGTGAGAGAGATAAATTATGATATAATCTCAATCTGGTTCCTAGGGAGATTGTCTTGTGCCCGGTGCACATAAGGAGCTATTACAAAAAATAGAATCTTCACACTGCCACTGTCGGAATTCGGCTCTAAGATCAACGGGCTTGACATTCTCTTCTTGGACGAGTTTGAGTTATACTCCCTCCGTCCCAAAAAGATTTACACGTTTCAAAAAAATTGTGTCCCACAATCCCTTACCCATTTCTATTAAAAAACCACTTTTACCCCTTACTTTTTCAAACCCTACCTATCACATCATACCTTTTTTTCTAATAATCTACACATCACATTCTACTTTTACTCATCACATCAAAGGTATTTTTGGAAAGTCAACACAAAATTATTCCCCCCTTAATTTCTACTTTAGTCAAAATGAGTAATATATGGGAGCACCATTATTACTATATAGGTTAGGTATGTTGTACATGTACTACTACTATACCACTGCATATCCCTGTGCCCTGTGCCTGAGAAGCCTAGCCTAGCCCTAGCCCTAGTCTAGTTGTGCAAATTAGGACCATGCTACATTTACACCAAAATTTGTACCCCATTTGTACACCACAGTTATGCACAAACATTTTGATGGTTTACACCGACACAAGTGCTGGTGCATTAACAAAAATTTACACAGACACAAAGTGTTGATGCGTTAATAAAAATTAGTTTTACACCGACACAAAATGTCGGTGCAAACCTGCGGTGTACAAATGGAGTACACAAATTTGGGGTACAAGTACCTTTATCCGTGCAAATTATTTGGGCTGTTCTGAAGTTCCTCAGATCCCACATGCGATGCAAACATGACTCCAGTCATTGAATCTTTCTCGAATATACTCCTACTCTAAACTTAACTTCACATAATTTAAATTTCAGAAAAAAAACTAGGGGTACAGATACAATATTGTCTGTGTCGGACATACAATTACTATTTATATACTCCCTCCGTCCTATAATGATCTTTCCGGTTCGCAAAACGAAGAAAAATCTCAAGTTTTTTCAATCTATTTTATTTAAATATTGGTATAGAAATAAAAAATAAAACATACATATTTAAAAACTACATCAAAAGTTCAACAAAACAAGTGGTGACAAGAATATTTTATTTTATCATATAAGCCATGAAAAAACACAAATAAATATAAATTCCCGTGAAGTTAAATAGTGTTTTGGGAAGATCACTATAGGACAGAGGGAGTATATTTGAAAGGGGTACAATTGAAGGGGGTCAAAATCAACTTGTGATATGCAATTGAAGGAGTGGAGGGTGTGTTCGGGTCGGGGCTGGGTGGGGGGTTAGGAGGGGTAGAAACCGTCAATTTTACGAACGGGGCACCGGAGTGCCCTCGGGTCATCCCATGACATTGCCTACCAATGTCACTTGAACCTTGGGGATTATTTAGTGTGCAACTTAGAAGTTAGAAGTTAGAACCCAAATTTGGTATATCCTTAGCATACTTTTAAATTTTAATTTTTAGACAATCTACGGACTACAATATAAGAATTTCATGCTTTGTAAGATTGTTTAGTATCGCAATTGTTAAGAGTATATTCTTCTTTCCACATCTATATTGACCAATTAAGCTAACTTCTCAAATTAGATTATACTTCCTCCGTCCTAAATCATTTACTCTTTACGCAAAATAAAGTAAAATTTTAAGTTTTTTCAATTCATTTTATTTAAAGATTGGTATATATAAATAAAAAATAAATCTATTTTTTCTCACAAGTAGTGCACCTAAGACTTATTATAAAATACGTAGTAATTTTTAAATATAGATGACCACCAAAGAAATCTATAATAAATTCTTATATTAGAGAATCTCATGTCATAAAGTAGTGTATGTTTATAAACCTTATTTAGAAATGTAGTTGTATACATATGCATTCTTTTCTGAAAATATATATACTCTATCTGTATGTCATAAATCTTTCTTAAGTTTTTTGTTTGTCCTAAATGATCTTTTCATTATCTTTTTTAGTATTTTAATTATTAAATGACACATTTAATCACAGTTACTTTATTTATTATATATAACTCACCTCATTTAGTATAGTCCACTCATTTTTATTAATGATTTTTATTTATATTATGAACACATTGGTTCTTTTGACTTTGAGAGCTCGGGTCATATTATGACCCAAGACACCTACGTGTTCTGTTCGTAAAATTAATGGTTTCTACTCATCCTAACACGACTCTCCCCGAATTGTTGATTTTAGGGTTGAGGAAGGCGAGTTTAGGAGAGGTTAAAAGGTGAAAATTATCAATATTACTAATGGAGCACTGTAGGTACCACAATCATAAGATATCCGAGCACAAGTAAAAGATCCATGTCGTATTATAAATTATGAGTAACTTTTTGTGTGAATATTTTTTTTCCTAAACACTAATGAATTAAGTTGTTTATACTCCAAAAATTAGACCCCACTTTGTATTCCAAATACATGCACCAAGATTTTATACTAGTGTAATGATCTACAATTACATAAAATATAAGTATAATTTTGTTATATTTCATTACACTAGCATTTTAAATCAGAGTGAAACGCATCTCTTTAAATGTACTCATAACATGGTTGAAACACTAAGAGCATGTACAATGGCAAGGAAGAAGGATGTTTTGCAGTGCCACATTAGTTTCTTTTTTTTAAAAAAACACATCAGTGTCTTTCATTTTTATCATGGCATGACAAGGCCAAAATGTCTTGCTTGGTGAGACATGAGTATGACACTTCATACTACTTTTTTTTCTTTTTTAAAAATTTTTTATGAAAAAAAATTTACAAGAAAGTAGAATAATTTTTTAATAAAATAAATAATAAAAATATTTTTTTATGTTTAAAAAACATAAAAAAAAAATAAAAAAGTGATAAAAAATAATGACTTGCCGTTGTAGGACTTGTCACACCATTTACATGTCACACACTGACTAAACAATTTCTTATTAGTTAAAATGTTTCATGTTATCTTGTGGCATTCCATTTTCACGTTGTGATTCTCTAATAAGAATCACTAATAAGTCTATGTACAACCGACACAAGCAACTATAACTAACATGTGAATATGTGGCTGGTTGTCTGCCTAATTATGATTCCAATCAAAGTGTGGGTTTAGCCAACCAAATAATGTACGGAGTATATCCTTGTCTTTACATAATCTCATTCACTATATCTATCCCCACAAATCATATGGAGTGATATGATATACTCTATGGAAATTGAAATATCTTTGTTAGAGTATTTCTTTCGTCTAAAAAAGATGTTCCCGTATAGTTTTTAAGAAATTCAAGAAAAAAATATTTTTATGTTAATTTTCCAAAATTACACTTGATGTGATGTGCAGATTATTATTAAAAAAGTATAATGTGATAAGTGTGTTTAGAATTAATACAGGTAAAATTGAGTTTTTAATAGAAATCGAAAGGATTTTGTGGGACAAGTAAAAAATAGAGAAAGGAATTTTTGGAGCGGATTAAAAAACACTTTCTGAGTCATAATTACAATCTTCCATTTTAGTTCAGTTGGTTCATTGACAGAGTATTGGAGCCTTCTGGACTAAGATTTCACAAGTTTAAAACTCAATGTCACCCATTTATAAAAAATAAATTTTATGCGTAAAGTTCGAAAAAAGATAGTGAAATTTAACTTAAATAGTATTAAAAAATATATACTTTTTTTAATGTAATACTTCAACTTTTTTATTCCCGTAATAGTACATGAATAATGTCTGGTGGCGGAAACAATATCCAGGGATAGTGGACATTTATTTTGAACAATGTTCAATAGCTCCGGACATTTACTTGAACAATGACTAGTAGACCTTGAACAGTGGTACTACATTGATTAATAATAACGTATAGTACTACATTAGGAAAATTACTACTCCCTCCGTCCCTAAAAACCTTTATTCTTCTTTTTTTCATCTGTCCCAAAAAACACTTCTCATTTCTATTAAAAGTCACTTTTACCCCTTACTTTTTCATACCCTACATATCACATCATATCTTTTTACTAATAATCTATCCATCAAATCATACTTTTTCCCATCACATCAAAGGACATTTTTGGAAATTCAATACCAAAATACACTATCCTTAAATCACTCTTCAAAAATCAACTCCCATGTCTTCTGGGATGGAGGGAGTATATTTTAATTTGACTCCAAAGTCAAAATCAACATGTGAGGTGCAATTGAAAGGGGTGGGGGTGTGTTCAGGTCGGGGTCGGGTACCGAGGAATTGGGGAGATAAGAACCGTCAATTTTACGAACGGGACACCGGAGCGTCCTGGGTCATCCCATGATATTGTCCTCCAATATGTCACTGGAATCTTATATAGTTATACTATGTAGAATATTGAAAATTAAATTTTAGTACTCGTCCAATAATTGTAATGGTATTTGGAATCTTATTAGGTCATTAATGATGAAATATGTATTACGTCATTTTGTATTAATATTTTCTCTTTCCTTTTGCTTTGTTGAGAGTATTAGTTTACTTTTCATATTTAATTAAAAAAAGTCTTTGGAAAATGCTAAATTATCTAAAATATTCTATAAATACTTAGGGGTTGTTTGACAACTTCTGAATAGATAAGTGCTGAACCAGTAAGAGGTCTGAACCACTAAGTGTTGAACCAGTAAGAGGTCTGAACCATTAAGAGCTAGTATATTGCTTAACTATTCAGAGACAAATGTCTGATCGATTCAGATAAGAGCTCTTAACCATTCAGACTCTGTATAATACTTAACCATTCAGAGGCAAATCTCTTAACCATTCAGACATCTGTACCATTAAGAGGCTGAAACAAACAGTCTGAACCATTAAGTGCTGAATCATTCAGACATCTGAACCATTAAGAGGCTGAAACAAACAGCCCCTTACTATGTCCGGTGTATTATTTGTTCAATATCGACTTCTGGCTTATAATTAAACAAAAATTATATGGTATATTGGTTAGAAAAAATATATTTTAAAAATACTTTAAAATATAAATCTAATATAATTATTCTCATATCAATATTTAATACTCCCTCCGTCCCGTGAAACATGGGACATTTGCTTTTTAGGAAGGATTTAAGGGAGTGTAATTTGGTATTGAATTTCCAAAAATGTCCTTTGATGTGATGGGTAAAAGTATGATTTGATAGATAGATTATTAGTAAAAAGGTATGATGTGATAGTTAGGGTATGAAAAAGTAAGGGGTAAAAGTGACTTTTTAATAGAAATGAGAAATGTTTTGTGGGACAGATAAAAAAAGAAAGGGGAAATGTTTCACGGGACTTAGGGAGTATGAATTTTATTTTTTAGGAAAACACGGAATACTCCCTCCCTATAATCTATATGAGCATTTCTCGATCGGTTTCATTTCATCGTATTTGTGAGTTAAAAGTTAAAACTCGATAAGAACAATTGTCAAAAAGTATCACAAAACTTTTGCTTAAAATTCTACTCCCTCCGTCCTAAAAGGTCTTTCCTGTTTCATTTTTTGCGCATCACATAAAACACTTCTACCGACATCTAAAATACCTAAAATTTACAACATTTCTTCTTTATTGTGGGTAGAAGTTATTTTGAAAGTTTTTTTGGCATTCAAGGCGGGATAAAAGTGTTTTTTGGGATGCGTAAAAAATAAAACAGGAAAGACTTTTTGGGACGGAGGGAGCAAGACTTTTAGAAATTTACCAACATCACTTTTAAATTTTGCCTTCATCATCTCATTCCTCTCCATCATCCCATACTCCCCCCTCTCCTCCCGAAAATATTTTCTCACTTTTCATTTTGATACTCCTTCCGTCCTAAAACTATCTTCCCATTTGTGTTTACGAGGTTTGACCAACATTATTTTCAATTCAATTTATTTGATTGTAGGTGTAAAATTAAAAAAAAAAAATTTATATATTTAAAAAACTATATCAAAAGTTCTATAAAATAAGATGTGACAAGACTATATATATTATTTTATCAAATAACTACTGAAAATATGTAAAGAAAGTGATTCAAGTTTGACCGTATGAATGGTAACTGAAAAAATAGTTTTAGAATATATATCCCCAAAAAAATCACGTTGGGAATCATTGTGATGGGTTCAATCTCACACCAGACAAATAAAAGAAAATACACTCCATTTAAAGAAAGGTGAAACAGTATCCATTAGTTTAAATTTTTGGATAGAAAATGGATCTGAACTTTATATGATTAAGTGGTCAAATCTCACCCAATATTTCATCCAGTTCACTCGACCCACAAAAATTCCAACATGATATCCGAGGCAAGTTCGGTTAGAATTTGATTCATCATGGTATTCACCGGGATAGCTATAAAGACATTGAGACCCTAGACCCATTTATTCATCCAAATAGTAACTACTCATTCCTTTTTCTAACTTTTTTACAAAAGAATATATAACATATTGTTTATGTCAATTTTAAAGAATAGGAAGTGCATGGGTGCCCCGAAGGGTGTGCAAAGTGGCCGACCGCACAAGATCCCAAAAATTTTAGGGCTCATATTTTTAAATTTGTAAATAATTTTAAAACATAAGTATTCTAAAACAAATAAAATAGGCCCTAAAATGTAAATTTTGGACCGAGCCAAATTTATTTTTTCATTTTTCGGGACCGGCCCTGAGGAAGTGTATATATATTTTCAACACTTTTTAATCTTTGTGAAATCAAATTATAATAATAATGTAAAATAAAGAGTATATTTCATGTGTTTCCACGATTAAAATTGACAGTTCCATTTTACGAAGAATTTAAGAATATTAAAAATGTGTGACTACAATTCTGTCTAGATATATAAAAAAAATATTCATGTTAGTCAAATTTTTTTGGAGTAAAATTTCATTTTAATTTGAAACCAATAAAAAATAATCATGGGAAAAGAGCTACATTCCTTTTTAATTGTCCGATTTACTTTTAGGAACTTAATATTTGACCAACATATTTAACAAAAAAATTAGGGAGTATTATAAACAAACAATGGTTAATTAATTACCGTATTCTTTCCGCCATTTTTCGAAGTATGGGAAGAGAGTGGAAGTGTAATCATGTGCCAGAAATCCACCACGGCTTGACGCTTCCATGGAAGTTGCGGCGGCGGCGGCGGCGGCCGCCTGAATCCTCTGCATTTCAGCAAGATTTCCATAGAGAAGAGAAGAAGGGGTGGGGCCATATATGCCCTGCCTCTTCAACACCCATCTCACTCTCTGTGGCTGAATCCACACAGTGTTGAGCCAGTAGAGAGTGATGAGCCCCAAGAGGGAGACAAGAAGTGGGAGAAGAAGATGAGGAGGAAGAATTGTTGTTAGCCATGGCGATGGGTTGGTGAGAAAACTTGTGAAAGAGAAGAGGAGGAGAAGAACACCAATGGTTTTCCACACTACCATTTCTTGATTTTCTTTCATCCTTTCTCTCTTTGGTCACAATGGCTATTGCAACCTTTTGATATACATACATACATACATACATATATATATATATATATATATATATATATATACTCCCTCCGTCCTATAATGTTCTTCCCGGTTCATTTTACGAAGTTTAACCGATTTTATTTTCAATTCAATTTATTTGATTGTAGATGTAAAATTAAAAAATAAAATTTATATATTTAAAAACTACATCAAAAGTTCTACAAAACAAGTGGTGACAAGACTATATTATTTTATCAAATACCTAATAAAAATAAGTAAAGAAAGTGATTAAAGTTTGACCGTGTAAAAAGTGAGTGGGAAGAATATTATAGGACGGAGGGAGTATTAGATTATTACTCTATCTTAAGAAGTATTATTATGCATATAAGATTAATAAAATAAAATTTTTAAAGTTGTCAACAAAATAAATCTAATTAAGTTATTTTCATACTAAAATAAGATGAGGTCTAAAGTTTTTCTAGTGTTTATACTGATATAAATTAGATTTTTATTTAATTGTAGTATAAAGTTTATTTAATTTGACTCGAAAAGATCAAAGTAAACGAATACACTCGGGCGGAGGAAGTATTGGATTGTATTCCATATATGCATACACTAATAATGTTGAATAAAATAAGTTTCTAAAAATATACTCTCTCCATATTTTCATTTTGGTTTTTCCTCATTTTATTTTCTAAAAAAAGTCATATTCGTTGATGGTAAAAAGTCAAACTAGACAAACACACTAAAACAATGTAACAAAATCTTTTGCTCCCTCCTTCTCGCAAATATATTACTCCGTAGTACTGCGCTTTGCGGGGTTTGTGGTACTCCTCTGTCCAATTCAAATTGCATGTTGTTGTTTTCAAGGTTGAACTAAAATTGTTTTCAGCTCAATTTATTTAAAAATTTACATGAAAATTAAGAAATAAAATCTTTATACTTAAAGACTATATCTAAAGATGTGACAAAATTAAACTATGTTATCTTATTAAATAAATAGTGAAAGATGGGTAAAGAAAGTACATGTATGGTTAATATTTGATCACATGAATAATAAATAATTTAAATTAGAGTGAACATAATACTCTTATTTTCCTTCATATAGAGTCTTTAAAAAAATATTGTCAAGTCTCATCTGGAGTCATCTCCATCGGAGTATATATATATATATATATATATATATATATATATATATATATATATATATATATATATATATATATATATATATCATGATGCAAGATCAGAAAGAAATTAAAAACCCCTTCTTTTGCAGGTCTTGGTCAACGCAATATGTGGATAGGTGTTGCAGGTCTTGGTCAACGCGTGAATGGAAATCTCATCTTCTTCCCTTCTTTAATCTACAAAATATTTCTTTCCACCCTATCATACTTTTTTTTACCTATGGAAATTTTAAAAAAGTCAAAATAAAAATATTTCTAGGTTAAATTCTATAAAAAAATCAAAATGAGAAACAAGTTTTGGGAGGCATGGAGTATTTACTTAATGAACTAAAATTCACATGTTTCACATAATAAAAAAAAATATCTCAATAATAATAAAAATATTTATTTGGGTTAAATGAATGTACATCGTGCACCTTCGTTCCATTAATAATTTTTTAAAAAAATTTATTTTAAATACGCTCTTTGTTTTAAAATATTATATCTAGTTTCGACTTTTTTCAATCAATTAAAATTGGCTATCGAGAGAGATAGTAATAAAGTTTGTATACTCTTCACGACGCAGGATTAACCTTATTAAACAAAAAGCTCGTCTCTGACGATGATTCCCGCCCCGACCCAACGAAACGACGAAAGAAGAACTCGTTATATAATTTTAGTCTGATTTTTAGAGAAATCGTCTCTTATCCAATGCGTTACAAGTCCACAACAACCCATTATATTAGATAAAATTATCACAATCTCGTTGCCAAGATTTGATCTTTAAAGTTTCAAATTTAACATCGTGGGCTATAAGTTGATAACTATTCGTTAATGGGCAGGAAGAATCAATTACTCCATATTGAGTAAATCATTTAATGTGCTATGAATAATCATTAATGCCTCTTAAATTCTGCCCATTCTTAGAAATCATTTTACTTTATGCGCCAAAGTTTTAGATTATGGCCGTGTTTGGTTGGCGGGTTTTGTTAGCTCTCAGGACAATAAACGGAAAATTTACTTAAATAGCACTAAAATATAATGACTTTCCATAAATAGTGTTGTATGTATTTTTTCCCAGTGTAGCACTTTTAGTCATTATTCAAATAAATGTTCATCATCACTGGACATTGTTAATTGTTATTTAGAGAACAAAACAGTTTAAGTTATATTTAGGGAAATGACTTAAGTTTTAGTGTTATTTAGTGCAAATATTTCTAAACGAAAATGCGGGAAAGATTAATGTTCTTCAGTTCTCACACCTGCTTTAAGAATTTTTTGCTTAATAACAGAGCAACTTTGGACATAATTTCAGTAGGGTTTACTAAATTATTTTTCAAAAATAATTATGGATAATTAATCTCCAAATCAAGACGAGTGTTTCGATATATTGTGCGCCAAAAATGTTACTCGGTTCAATGATAAATTAATTCACAAAATCCAACACTTTGAAGGAGTAAGAGGGTGCAAAATCCATGTGTCTCACATCGGATTTGAGATCTTTCATCTTCCACTATTTATATGTTAGCATTGGTTGTATTGTAAAAACAATTTGAGAAGGAAGAAAGAAAGGGCCCTCTCACCCCTACCGTCATTTGGCTCGCAATGGCATGACACGCGCCCGCGAACGCGTGTTGGCGTGAGTGTGCATGTGCACGATGTGTCGTGACGTGGTGAAGACGTGGGCCAACTCTTATATTTTTACAAGCTGATTTAAACACGAGTGACCACTTTGTTATTAACGAAGTCCAGTCGGTCATGCATGCATCTCGATTACTTTTACAATGAATTGATCCCGATGATTCATAATTGGAAATAAATTCAAATTTTATTTATGCAAATTCCAATCATTATCAATAAAGTGAGTTGTGAGACACATGTAATTAAGTCTTTTAACAAACATCCAAGTGTCAATAGTCACACACTCTTTGACATGATGAAGCAAACAAATTTTTCAGTATGACCCTTTCAAAATTGTATCTCTTCAAACAATCACGAACAACAGTGACATGTGATGGAATTACAAACTGATCTAAGGATATCAGAACAAACACTCATCAAATATTTAAATCCATCTTTTTCCACAAATAGAAATGGTAACTCATCAACAATTATTGTATAAAATGGGAGCATCCCTAAGAACACAAACTCAAACCCCAACATTTCTCTTTTAGCTTCACATGCGCTATCATTTTCATTAAAAGTATCAAGAGAAAGTATAGTTTGTGAGCTTTCTACCTCTGAGTCACATCATCGATCGAGTTCAGGTGCATCGCCGACGGATCTCCGTTTCCGTTAGTCACTCCCGTCGGTAGAAACTAGATGTAATTGCATGATTTAATTTGCGTCTAGGTATACGAGTCTGTATTTGTTTGGCTATTAGAGATTTCGGGATATTTGGATGAATGGATCAAATTAGACCTAGAAATGGAATAGGCTAGATGGTTAGAAGAGTTTAAATCAAGTTTTACCGGTTTAGCCCGTTAAAATTCCAGGTTAGGACTATAATTGACCAAAATCTTACAGGTCTAAAAACTAAGGATCTAAATCCATACCGATAAGAAATACTCCATTCGTTCTAAATTAATACTCAAAGATAGACTTTGCACGGAATTTAAGAAAAGTAAAAATGTATGATTGAAAGTGATACATAGAAAAAAACTAGTGAAACACAAAATAAAATTTTAAAAAATGAAGATGAAAGATTCAGATAATCTAAATAGAAAATAAGGAGAATTAATTTAAGATTGGAGAAATAGTTCTAACCGAGAATAGCTGATTCTTCTCCGGTCCAATTTACAAGTCCGACCTGTAATTTTTACACTCCTAGTGAAAAACGATGACGTAGAAACGAAGTACCCTTTTGTTACTTTTCCTTTCTTCTTCCCTCTTCCGCACTTCATTACTTCCTCCCCCGACATCATCCACGTACCCATTTCGCTGATCTTGAATCTCCGATCAATCGAAAGTAAGGTCAGGGAGAGAAAATTAACACTGTTCTAGGTTCGAGCAGGCACCAAAGCCAAAGCCTTTTCATCTAATCGATTTTGCGTCTTTCAAAAACATTGATTTTCTTCTAGCTGAAACCTGGGCTAGGAAAGCCCTAATTTTTCTAGGGTTTATGCTAGGAAAGTTTTCGTTTTTCTTTCCACAGGTGGAGTTATGTGCGTGTGACATGTATAAAGGATTATACTTGTCGGTGTCTTAGGGTTTGGATTTGTACAATTTGGTGGGCAGCTGCGGTGCCGTGGCGATGGACGGAAGAAGGATATCGGCCAGTCCGCGGCCGTGCTCTGGGCGGCGCGTGCTGGCCAAGAAACGACCTCGGGGTGTCATGGATGGGTTCGTCAACAGCGTCAAGAAGCTCCAAAGGAGGGAAATTTCATCCAAGCGTGACCGAGCTTTTAGCATGAGCGATGCTCAGGAGCGATTCCGCAACATCCGGCTACAGGTACTGGAACCTCGCGATTTGGAATAATTTCGTTGCTACTGTTTGCCTGTAATTGAATGTTTTGTATGAATATACCCATGAGGGGGAATCTAAATCCGGGCATAGGTTGACCAGATGGAATGAATCGAAATCTTAGCTGCCTCCACTTAGCCCAACCCATTTTTGTATGGTCACCATCAAGTCATCTGGCTAGGGATTTGCATTATCGCTTCGTAGGAATTAATGTCGATCTTTATTGTCACGAACTCACGATAGTCAATTTTGAGAATGAATCCTGAAGGCTAATGCTATCAATCATTCTGCAGTAGCTTCACATTCTTTGAGATGTTTTGTGTACTTTATGTGGCTCTAAGTTTTAAGCTTAGAAAGTGAAATATTAGGCTTCTGATTTTCTTCTTCGTTTTTATATTACGGAGTGAGTATTATTTACAATAAGTTTTCTGTATCTTTTATACAGATACCCACACATATACTTCTGTTTTGAACAAAAAAACCTTACATTTTTAACATTTAGTAACTGTACATGTGATTCAGGAGGAATATGA